AGCTGTGGCCCGGAGCATCTGGGCAGCCACCAACAAGGGAGAAAGCTGCTCCGCGCAGCCTTGGCGCCTCTCCTACCTCCCGGCCAGGCAACGTCTCTTCCGCTTTTCCTTTCCCGCGAAACGCGAAAGAAAGAGAAAGCGAAATCCGTCCTGAGGGAGGAAGCGGCAGAGAGCATCGTCGCGCGCGCGCCTTTTGTGCGCCTTTCGAGCAGCCAGCGAGCTTTCCCGCCCTGGTCGTCGACACCGAGAGAAATTCGAGCGGTGGGCTCCATCTTGCTGGGGTTAGCGGCCCCGCGCTCCCTGCTGCTCGGGGCCCCTTCTGAGCAAGTGAGAAGCCCTCGCCTCCGGCATGGAGGAGAGGGCGCGCCTGCTGAGGACCCTCGATGAACTAACGCAGGACCAGTTCAACGCGTTTCTTTTCCATCTGTGCGATATCCCGCGCGGGAGGCGTGAGAACCTCACCCGGGTCGGGCTAGCGGAGCTTCTTTTGCAACATTACCCCAACGAGCCACTCGAGTTCACGGCCAAAATCCTTGAGAAGATTCCCCGAATGGATCTCGTGCACGAGCTCCGAAGGGAGACTGCGAAGTCCCGTGGCGCCGACAACGGGAAGGGAGCGGAAGCAGCAGCTGGCGCGGCCCCACCCGCTGGTGAGTCGAGCTGGGCTCGCTAGGCCTCGTCGTTTATCTAAGGCTCGGTCCCAGAAACTTTACTTGATGGCGTGGCGGCCTTTCTCTTCCTGTGCCCCCCGTGTAAGGTCCTGGCACTTGGCAAAGTAGGCGCGCGCAGAGTCCGAACGGGGCGAGAAAGGGCGCCAAGGCATTCTTAAGACCAACTGAAAAGCCACGAAATAGCGCTCAGACTTTGTCATTGGACAGGATCTTCATCAGAAAGGATGGGTGGGATACAGCAGGATGGGGTGTAGAAGTGTGTCAAGGGGAAACAAAGTTAGAAAATCCGTCAAAATGTTCCAGAGCCCAGGGTCTTTTCACCTCATGAGTGTGGAAAAAGATCAGTTTTAGATTTGTATCACGTCCATGCAAAGAGGGCCTAACTGAGCCTGCTGTAAAAATGATGATTGCAATGGTACCTCAGTGTGGCCCTTATTTAGGCGACCAAATGTTCAGGAGATGGGTTGCCCGGGATGCTTCTTACTGGTTCACACACCTGGCTGCCAGGGCCATGCATGACTTGGCTTCCTCTTTGAAGCTGATTTGAAATCTTAGTAGTGCTTTGAGTTTGGCTATAAATTTTATTTACTTAAAATAGTTTTCAGACTGCTTCTCAGCTGAAAACGCTCCCAAAGCTGCTTGCATGTAATCAGTGAACCAAGGAAAAGATGGCTTCACATACGACAACACGGCCAGTTTTACACAGGGACAACTGCCAGTAAGGTATCCTGCAAAAAAAAAAAAAAGTCTTGGGAGGCCTTGTAGCAGCTGCTTAAAAATTGCAGCTTATCCAGAAACAGGCCTATCCTAAGCACGCCACTTTCATGTCTCACACTGCTCTTGGCTGACCATTAATTCCAATGGTGCAACTGCCCCACTGAACATAAACAGGACGAAGTTGAAGTGATATAACAGCAAAGTCAGGCAGGAATGGGCAGATGTTTGGGGAATACAGGCTATGGGTTGCAGTCCTAGCGTTCTTAAAAGAGCCATCATCTAGCGTGCACCCAGCAGCAACGGCATAAGTAGGCATCTGGGTCACTTCTGAAACCAGTGGACAGGTACTTTCTGAGAAGTAGGAGACCTGGCCATCTCAGGGACCAAAAGTAAGTCAGCCTGTGACAATGCCACACTGCCTCCTTGGTAAAGTTATGGGATAGTACTCCTCAGAAATGAGCATCAGGAGTTCTGGGGAAACAGTATATAATGAAACAAAGAATTAAAACATTCTAACAAAGACTTGAATCTGGTGATAGTCCCAGTTAGAACATACCCTTGAAATGAATGGGACTTAAATGATCTAATGCCGAATGCAACCCCAACATTCCTTCTGTAAAGCTTTGTTGGCTGCATTCTTCCTTTCAGTGACCAGGCAAGTGGTTCACTATTTATTTATGTTTATCTTCAAGTCTGGGCTATAGCAAAGAAAAGATTTGACAAGTCCCATCTTACCCACATGTAAAGCAACCACACTAGTGCACTGTTAACACAACCCATGTGCTCTCCAGAGTCCTGTCCTTCCTGGCTAATTAAAGTGTGTGGGTGGGGGGAGATAACTGAGTGAATCCAGGGAATGGTAAGTGTAACTTGGCATGAAGGAGTGGTTCCTGTTGTTCTTAAGGAGACCACAGTGTGGCACTCCTGCAAAAACCCCTTCTGGATCCAGTGGTATTCAGTAACTACTGCCCAGTAGCAAATAACTTGTTTTTGAGCAAGGTACTTGAGAAAATACTGATTATCTAGACCCATTTCAGTTTGTGTTTCAAGCTGGTTGTGGACTGAATTAGCCTTGGTAGCTCTCTTGAATGACTTTTAGTAGGAGACAAATGGGGGATTACAGCTCTCCTTATTCTATTCAATATCTTACTGGCTTTTGATACTCTCGATCATGGTATACTACTGGATTGACTCTACTGGCTGGGTATTTGAGGCACCATGTTACTACAGTTCCAGTCTTACCTGCAGGTTTTATTCCAGCAAACAACATTGGGTAATTGTTCTTTGAACACCTGGCAATTGAGCTTTGAGATTCCATAGGGTACCAACTGTATGATGCCACTGGGAGCAGTCATTAGGGGATGTGGAGCCAAGTGCCGTCAGCACTCGGATGACACACAGCTCTGCCTCTTTTTGGCAACTGAATCAGGAGGGGCTGTGCAAGTCCAGGATCCATGTCAAGACCCAGCATCTTCTGAGGGAGCTCCTACAGGGACTGCTGCCATGCAGTCCCAAGTGAGCTGAGGGTACATTTTGCTATCTCTGAATGCTTTGTCGGCTCCAGCCTCTCCTTGGCAGGAATTTTCTATTTCTATTTTCTATAACTTTCTCAATTATGAGAAAGTCTCATAACTGTACTCTCTTCTACCCCTTCCAATTTCGCAGGGCAGCCCAAGGTAGTGACAGACCAGGAGCTGATACGGCTGGCCAGAAACATGGGCAAGACATGGAAAGAGATTGCAATCAGGTTCCTGGGAGTAGAATGCTCAGTTCTGGAACAGATCGAAGAGGACAATCCCAACAACACGACCATGCGAGTCTTCTCCATGCTTAGGGATTGGAAGAAGCGTGAAAAAAGGGGAGCCACTGCAGCCCGGCTCTATGCCATCCTCAACCAGGAAGAGGTACAGCTCGACCATGATGTATATGCATTCCTGAGCAAGAATGCCTGAAAACAACTGTGTAGACTGGAAAGCCTGCCTGACAACCTTGCAAGAGATGGAGTTCAGCAGCACACAGGATGTGTCATTATCTATCTCAACACGTGTCAACATTGCCCTTGAATGCTTAAGTGGCCATTGAGTATGAGGCCTCCTCACAAAAAAGAGAGGAAAATAACAAAAATAACAGGCAGAAAATACCAACACATTTGCAAGCAACCTATCAACGCACATCCTGTAGCCCCAGATATATAGTGTTGCCTGGGAGGAAAGGATTTGATTCTTCCTTGCTCAGTTCTCACTTTCCCAAAGCAAATGTTGGCACTGATGTCCTCTTCCTTGGGCATCCCTGCCTATATGATTCAATGACAGGTGTCAATCATGTCATCTCCAGCCAAACGGGACATAAAGCAACTTTTTCAATAATGCATATATGTGGACAGGTGTCCAATTTAAAACAAAAGAGTGTTTCTATTTAATAAAAATCAAATAAAAACCCACAGCCTAAGGGAATGGGGCAGTATATCAAAATCAAGTATTTTTGATGTACTGTCTTAACAGCTGACAGGTGGCAAAATTTTCAGCACATATCATAGAACTAGAATTGTCTGTTTGCATGTAAATACAGCATGCAAATACACTTTCTTGTCCCTCACCTTTACTAATGCAAAACACTCTCAGAAACATCAACAAGGGTCCAACAATTTATATCTAGCTATTGTCCTAAGTAGCTTTTAGACCGTCCAAACAAATAATTGATTTCCTGTTTTATTGTGAATCCTCACAATTGTCTTTGCCTTATCTCACTGTTTTAATTGTTGTTGCTAGTCACGAAGTCATATCCGACCCATTGCGACCCCATGAACAACACTCCTCCAGGCCTTCCTGTCCTCCACCATCCCCTAGAGTCAGCATTGAGCACCTGTCCACATAGATGCATTATTGATTTGATTTTGGTGAGATAATACGAAAAATTCTTAACTATCCTTCTGACCAAGTTTAGAAAGATACAGCATCACACCCTTTGTTGTTTCTTTCCCTGTGGTGTTTTCACCATTGTCTATTTTTAATTTTAAGTTCTTAGCAGTCATGAATGCTTCACCCTACCTCCCCACTGTACCATGATGTAGCATACAACGTACACCCTGAGGTAATTGTATAATAAAGAACAGGTTAATAAGAGTTCATTAATCAATTCAAGGTCTGTAGTACATCACTTTGTCTTGTCCTTTTATGTTCTGTCCACTAAAAAAATATTAAGGACATAAAACAGGAAAACAGATTTCAGTAAACCTTTATTTAAAAATTAAGGGCAGAGGAAAAAGAAAGCACGGCAAAGAACAGGACTTCGTTGTCTTAGTTCTCTATAGCAGGGCTGGGACGCTGATTGGTGCTACCTTACTACCTTGTCCTCCACTTTTGCTAGTTCCTTGCAGCCACCTCATTGATTTCCCTTTCTGGCGTTGCTTCTTCTACTCAGTGGAAGTTACTCCAGATACTCTTGGAAGAAATGTGGTGCTGACTCAGGAAGAGTGAGTTATAAGGACTAGAGAGCTGCAGCTTTCCCTGGATTTCTGCAAGGTTTGCAAGAGAAGGAAGCGGAGAGAACACATTGTGAAGTTTCCTCAATTTCAGAGATAGTCTATCCCATCGTCATTACAGAAATGTGCTAGAGGGAGACAGGAGAAGCAGCATGGCAGAACTGTTACAGGTCTCTGCCAAGTCTCTCAATCTCATCTAGGAAGAAGTTCAAGTCCTCTCTGGTGACTGCTGGATTGGTGACCACCTGGCGGAAGAAGTTGACCCTATCACCATGTGGCTGGTAGCCCACCATCATGGACCCTTTCTTCATCATCTGTTCCTTAATTACAGGAGCCACCTAATACAGGAAAAACAGAATTGGATTGAATGTTTAATGTTATGGGAAGAGAGGGGTTCTGATTTTTCCATCGCCTCTTTGAGCTTTACCTCTGAGATATGCACAAAATGTAAAATAGAGGCTTTCAAACATGCACAATCACAAAAAAAATCAATCGCTAAAACCGTCTCTTTGTGGTCCCTCTGCTCTGTTCCCATCAATGCTGAATTTCTGCTAGCAAACAAGGACCATGGGGAGTGTGCCCCTTGCTTTCAAGAAGCATGATCCTGGAAAACTCGAGCACCATTTGGGTACCAACACCCATCTTTTCAGTCTCACATTCAGATTGGCCTCGACTCCCAGGGATTTGGTGGCATGTGACAGGGCATTTATGACTTCTGTTGTCTCTATCTGGTCCATTATCAGCAGTTTCAGCTGTTAAAACTGTTTTAAATTTTGTATTTTAGAAAACTGATTACAAGCCATTCTGCTTGATCCCCACAAAAATTACTGCTATTTGCTATATCCACTGGACCAATTTCAGGGGAGGCAAAATATTTATTATTTATTTATTTATTTATTTATTAAATTTGTATGCCATCCATTACTTGCATCTCTGGATGGCTACACCATATGACCTTTGGGGTGACAGTGGGGGCTCCAGGAAGTCGATGATTCAGAAGAATCCACTTCTGATTAGAGGAAGCTAAGCCGTTCTTGAGCCCAACAGTGTTGCAGTAAGAGCATGTGTATAACTCCAATGACCTCTTGGTTTCACAGGGTGGAATGGTGATATACCAGGATTTTTTATCCCTTCCAGTGCAGGCTTCTCAATACTTGCCTTCCCCAGTCTTAGAGAGTAATCTGTGCAACCCTCCTGCCCTCGTAGGCTGGGTGGCACATACCAGAAACACAGATTGATGAACTCTGGCTAGAAGGAAATAAAAGAAGATCAAGATATCCCAAGGGAAGTATTTGAGACCATATTTTTCTGCCTCATGTCCCCACTCTTATTATGTAGTGTGATGTTTTTGCACGCAAATGAACATTTTAGTAAACTTATGTCTGCAACTACAAAATCACTCCATCTGTCTGTGTACAGTTAAGCATTAATCACTCTGTGCACCATCGCTTAACAAAGTTAATTTTTTACTAGCCAAGAGGCTGATCAGGAAAAAAGGCAAATGTTGGGGAAAAGCCAAAGAAAGACACTAGTGCTCAAATGTGTTTGGAAGCCTTGATCCCTAATTGGGGATGATGTGTTTTGGAGCTGGTGTGTTTTGCCTGCAGAACATTCCAGGTTCAATTCCTATCAGTGGAGCTATGAAAGGACCCTGCTGAAAGCAGCCATGCAGTCAGAGCTGAGAATTACCAGGCTATAGATGGAAGGGTGGTCCCTAGATAAGACAGCTGCTTATGAATAAAAGCAGTCTGAAATCAGATGAAAGGGTGGTCCCTAGATAAGACAGCTGCTTATGAATAAAAGCAGTCTGAAATCGCTCCCTGGTGAGAGAACTCTGGATATTCCCAGAGGCCATCTTTTTCATGTCCTTTCATATGTTTTAGGGCTGAGCCCGATTGCTGATCGTGGATTCCCTGGCCGCCGTAAGTTAAGTTCAGGAGGTCAGGCAGGCCTTACCTCTATCACGAGTTGAAAACCTTCTCTCTTCCTAATTTCATCAGCCAGATACCTAGAAAAAAGGAGAATGTCAAGAAGTTATACGGACCTGCAAGAAATTCACCTGCTGAACGACATACCATTCACTGGCTGCTGACAAAGCAGTGGAGGTTTTGACTCCATTTGCTCCACTCTTGCATCCCAGTGCACACCTGGTGAAGGAAAAGGCCCTGTCCACTCTCTGCTCCAAGCCCTTGGTGCCGTTGGCCTTCCACATCAGCCACAGCTTGAAGCAGTCAACTTTGCGCCCACACTGGATGGTTTGGTCCCCCTTGTCGTAAGCCATGTCATAGAACTTGTCTGTCTGGAAGAGATAGGTGGCCTTGGCACAGTGGCACCTCTGCAGCAAGCCCTGCCAGGAAGGAGGAGTCAAGTTAGAGTGCTTGAAGTATTTCTATATTTTAGTTAAATACAGGTATACCCTGTACCTGCCCATTAAAAGGCTAGAGGCAGCAACAACTTGAATAGCAGTTACAACAACAGTTCAAATAAATACCCACAAGAGTTTGGCAAAACTAGATAACTTTTACCTTTGATGGGGTTTCTACTTTACTCCATCCTAGCAAAAGTGTTAAGTAGTGACACTTTACAGATTTGTTTATATTTCTAATTAAAAGTTAAAGGCTTAATCTGAGCAGGTAGAATGTATTTTGTTAGAGCTCAAATGTGTTTTGCAAGTTGAAACTTCTAAAAGATTCAGAAGTAAGAATCACTGAATTCAATAGAGGTTATTTCCATATGTGTAAGACTGCAGTTGCATCCTGTAAAATTAATTGTGATTTATTATGTTGTTATCAACACAATGCATTTATATCCCATTTTTGCCTCTTGCAGTGAGTCTCAGAGCTTACATAGCTTTCCTCCACTAATCCCCACAACAGCAACTGCAACAACAACCCTGTGAGGTAGATTAGGCTGAGAGTTTATGACTGGTCCAAGGTCACTCAGTGAACTTCATGAATGAGTGGGGACTAGAACCCAAATCTCCCAGGTCCCCAGTCCAACACTGTACCCACCACACCACACTGACTCTTAGTTTTAGACTAGTTTTAGAGGTCTTTTCTTCAAAGCAGTTTTTCATCAGACTGTAAACCTCATTAAATTTAAAAACCAGAAAAGCAGGATGTGAATATATATTTAGTGGGCTGTTGACGATGAATGCTCCTTGGCAGATAGCTATGTGACCTGCAGTGAAGAGCTCTGGCTCTGGCACTTCAAAATTTACATCTCATCATGGCCAATTAATTCAACCCTTATGAAGACCTGCTTTGATTTATTTTTAGGTTTCTAGTCCTTATGACTTTAAATATAAATTAAACCAGGTTTAAATATATGTGGCCAATACCTAGTAAAACTTCAGATAAGGAGAGCAGGTAGGTGAATTTGCCTTGGAGGTAGGGAGGGGGCTTCCAGTGAACAGCTCATTTCCTAGAATAGCTAGCAGAAGAAATTATGCAAATAAACAAGCAAGGCCATATACCTCATGCACAGAGTACTGGCCATCACCCTGCCTTTTGGACAGAGGGTTGGACTAGGCAGCTTTTTGGTTTCTTTCAGTCATATACATTGGATGGGGAGGCTTCTTAAATTGGAACAGTCCCGGCCAATTCATTCCTAAAAGACTGCCTTCCTGTCCAGGATGGGGGAGTTGCTGAATACCTACGGAGCTGTCTTGGAGGAGAAACGCAGAACACTGCAGCCCAGTCATAAGCATTTTGTGAGGGTTCCAAGCCACGGAATCTGCCCTGTGAGGAAAACAGAAAAACAGGCGTGCCACTTGTTTTTGTTATATCCTGCAAGGAACCCAAGGCAGCTTACATTATCCTCTCTGCTTTATCCTCAGAACAACAACCCTGTGAGGTTGGTTAGGCTGAGAGGTAGTGACTGACCCAAAGACACCCAGTCAACTTCATGGCCCAGTGGAAACAAAAACCAGGACCTTGTAAGTCCCTGTCCAGCACTTCAACCACTGAATTATGTTGGCTCTCACACTGGCATGGCTGATTCAGCAATAAGCACACTCACCAAATGTCCTAAGCATGAAAGAGCAATGCAACTGTGTGTGGTGAGCAGAAGAAGCTGCAGGATTTGAAATAAAACTCAGGAAGCAGCAGAAAGGTTAATTTCAACATTTACATGCCAGTGCAGACAATCCTGGTGAATTTTGTGAATGCCCTGATTTCTCCACCATCAGGACAGATACAGGTACCTGTTGACAATGCAATCAATGTGATGGTCAGCATTGACTGTGTGTCTGAGTTTGTTTTGATGCTCATTCACATTTGCCTGGGCCTGTAAACGGGCACGTGTGATGGTCCATGCTGAAAGGGGGCTTGAACAAGGACCCTCTTGCAACACCAGCATTCAGGCCCCTCAGACTGGTTCTGCAGGTCAAGAACATCCCCTAAGCTTCAGCAGTGAGTTCACAGCCTGAAGCCAATCATCTGACTTCACAAGCCAAGGAAAGCATAGAAGGCCTTATGACACATTTTCACCTGAGCCAGCCGTTCAGTCTCAGTGTGTTGCCCCCCTGAGTTACAGTCCTGGTGGTGCCTTCCACTGACAGCCCATTCCCCCACAAGAAATGGTGTCTACCTCTCAATCCCATGCAGAAGATGCCGGTGTCTTTGGGAGAGGAGGGCACTGCCACCCCACGCAGCCTACAGGGGGGTAAGAGAGGCATATGAGTCTTTAAGGATCATAGAATCAGAGCGAGTAAGAAGGGGTCTCCCGGGCCATCTAGTCTGACCCCCAGCTCCAGCCGGCTCTGCTCACAACATGCCCACCATGTGCATGTCCAGCCTATCTTTGAACACCCTCACCGATAGGGCCTCAACAACCCCCCGTGGAAGCCCATTCCACACCCTCGGGGTCCTGACTGTCAGGAAGTGCTTCCTGGCATCCAAATGGAACCTTGGCTCCTTGAGCTTTGCTCCGCTGGATCACGTCCTGCCTTTCTCTGCAGGGGAGAACAGGTCTCTACCCATCTCCATGTGACATCCCCTCACATACCTGTATGTCGCCAACGTATCCCTTCTGAGTCTCCTCCAGGCTGTAAAGATCCAGTTCCCTCAGTCTCGCCTCATCCCCTATCCCCTGCAAACCAGCCACCAACCTTGTGGCCCTACGCTGCACTGACTCCAACCTGGCTATATCCTTTCTGTAATGAGGGGCCCAAAACTGAGCATAATACTCCAGTTGCGGGTGCACCAGAGTCATATAGAGTGGTAGTAATACCTCTCTCGATCTAGAAGCCACACTTCTGGGTATGCAACCAAAGGTGGTGTTTGCCCTCTTGACCACTGCATCACACTGCTGACTCATGTTTAGCCTGCAGTCAACCAGCACCCCGAGGTCCCTTTCACAAGTGCTGCTCTCCAGCCACTTGTCCCCTAACCTGTACTTATGACACCTGTTTCTATGCCCCAAGTGCAAGACCTTGCACTTATCCACATGGAACGCCATCCTGTTGTCTCCTGCCCACTTCCATAGTCTGTCCAGATCCTTTTGGATCTGGAGTACCTGCTCCTCAGTTGTGGCCACTGCTCCAATTTTAGTGTCGTCTGCGAATTTGATCAGTAGATTGTTCACCCCTTCTTCCATGTCATTGATGAAAAGATTAAACAGGATTGGCCCCAGGACAGAGCCCTGGGGGACCCCGCTTTTCACTGGCCGCCATCCCGATGATTCCCCACTAATGGTTACCCTCTGCTTCACGGAAAAGAATTGTCTTTGAGATGACATAGGGCAATTAGGAAAGTTTTATCCTGTGTCAGCTCATTCACACATGCAAGTTAGACATGCACACCATCACTTATCAACAAGCTCTTTGTGAATCCATCTTTCAGTATCACTTTGAATCTTGTTTTGCAGTATGTTTTCAAGATCTAGACCTAGCAGAGTTTTGTCTAAGGATATAGAAATAGTGAGTGAGGGGATGTTCACACAGCACTGCTGCTTTGGACAGCTGCCCTGGGACAGCTGCTGCATGTGAAGGCCATAACGGCACACTTGGCCATGCGGATTATCTGTGTAGCATGGAGAGATTCCACTTCACCCAAAATTTGGGGGAGGTGACTGACAATGATGACCTGGGAACACTGGACTGATGGAACGAACAACAGCGAGACACTCTAGTTAGAACTACTGAATGGAGAGGCTTGTGTGTGGAGGATGTTTGACTAGCTGCTGTATTGTGGCAGAATGCCTATGTGCCCCAGTTGCTGGGGAACATGGGTGGGTGGGTGCTGATGTATCCCTGACCTCCTTGAGGGCTTCCCATGGACAACTGATCGGCTACCGTGTGAACAGAATGCTGGACTAGATGGTCTTACATTCCTATGATGCAGCTTCTATGGTTGAAGAGGATGCCTTTTGGGGAGTATAGTTAAAATGTAACATGGGAATGGATCCATCTGGGCTAAAGCAGGTGGGAAAGGAGTTTGTGTGATCAGAAATCACAGTATGAAAATACCCAAAGCATGTTTGCATAACTCCAATATAATGCAACGCTAGCTTACCAGTAACAATGGAAGCCCCACCATGTCACAGGGAGAGTGGCTAGTGACCAAGAAGGGCTGGTTGTGGGCCAGAGCCCACTGAGACTGACAGCATGAATAGGTTTTCCTAAGGAGAGCATCACTTATCTCCATAACTATGAGGGTTAAAGAGTTGGCTGCATTTTTTCTTTAGGTAAGGAAAACATCTCAAGACACTGAATTCTGCACAAAACACCAAAACCTGGATTTACGAAGCATGACTACACATGGGAAGTGTACACACTACAAAACCCTGCTTCTCTCAAGTCTTTTCCTGCCTTAATATGTGTGCTTTGGCACCCCCTCTTACATTGTTTGCATCTCCTCCACAAAGGCAAGCTGGCCAGTAAGGAAATAATTCACATCTCCCAGAGGAGGCTGCCTGCTGCATCTCTGCATGAGGTGTGAATGCAGCACACAAGCAAACAGCTGCCTGCACGCTGCTGCATATGATCCAAGCCTGAGAGGACTGGGACCATGAGATCAGCAGTGGACCAAAGGGGAGGGGAGGGGAGATGAAGCCAGACATCGCTTTCCCTTGAGAAACAGTACAACTGTTTTTGGTTTTGCTCTCTGTAAGCCGCCCAGAGACTTTTTTAGTAATTGGGATGGCACACAAAAACCTTAAACAAACAAACAAACAAACTGGGATGGCATCAAAATATACTTCTGTGGACATAAAACACTGGCCAAGATCCAAGGAGACCTGGGTTTTGGCAAAAGCTTCTCTGTGAGAGCTGATTTTACCCACTGGCCACAGCCCCTCACGCTACACTGAATGCGACTTCTAGAGAGCGGGCAGGCACAGAAAACATTATAGGAAAGGGACCAGAAAAGCATTTAGCGGGCATGTGCAACACTGTGCATGGCCCTTTGGATCCTGGCCAATATGTCAGAAAAGCATCCTCTTGGTCTGTTGGCATCCAGGTTGCAGAGATAGAGAGGTTCCTCCCCCAACCCTGTGCCCCCTACAGCAGGTACCTCCCCGCACTCCCAAGGATCTGTAGGGGGTTCCCACCTTGGTGTTGCTGTACTTACATCCACATGGAGCCAGACCCTGTGCCTCGCACACACCTCTGCAATCTTGGCCACAGGGTCAAAGGCTCCCAGGACAGTGGTGCCACAGGTGGCGTTGACAAAGAATGGGAGAGCCCCCTGGAAGGGAAGAACCACAAGAACAGGCATTGGTGGAGAAAAAATATTTTCATAGTGGGCCAAAAGAACTATTACTGGGGCCATGTGGCTGCCACCAACCCACACCCTCTCTCACCCCATGAACTTTTCTGTATGAGGCTTCCAATCCACCCGTTTACTGAGGCTTCTGCTTTCAGATTCTTTGTGAGATTGAGATCAGCTCCTTTACATATGTTTATCCTCCAGGGTTTCATGTTTTCTTCCATTCCATTATACAGGCACTAGGTAGCACTGTAGTACAGCAGCACTGACTAAATACTTATCTCATCATTTTCCAAATAATACTATACTTTTGCTGCCCACAAAAATGGTTGCAAATAATGGGAGAGATCCTGGAGGATGACAACATTGTGAAAAGCACCCACAAAGTACTGTGAGGGAGGAATCACTAGAGCACAATAAATGCTATCATTAAAAAATCTCTTTGTGACTCTTTGATAATATTCGTTAAATGCATGCTTGCTATATGACATCATTGAATTCAGTATGTGGCAGATAAAGAATTGGAGTTGTAGCAGGAAGAAAATTACTGTAATGATGTCATGACACTTAATCTCTTTTATCAAAATTACATGGATTGGGGTGAGTGAGAAGGGGGAAATACACTTATGTCACATATCAATACATATCAAAACCTACCTCAGCCTTGGCACAATTGATCTGCTTCTCCAGCTCAGCAGGGATCATTTTTCCCCTGGGGAAGAAAGAAATGACTAAAGTGACATGGGCATGAAGGTCATTTCCTAAATATCTCCTTGCTTCAGTTACTTTGGCCAACAGCTAATCTACAGAAAAAACAGAATCAAACAATGTTTTTTCTTCTAGATTTTACTATTTCAGCCTCCAGATATAGAATATCATATTTGAATGCTTCCTTGTGAGAAACTCCCCATGCATAGAAAACTAGCATAACAGGAGAAATAGACTTCATCTTAAAATGCTAGTTTTCTACATGCAAGACAAATATTTTTCCTATAAGGAAGCATTAAAAAAGATCCCATACTTATTTGCTGTCTGAAAAGTTTGCTCTATTTTATTCTGCTGCTTGTGAAGATCAACATTTAGCATACAGAGCCATACAGAACTAAAGTCTATAGCTGGAGACAAGTACAACCACTTCAAGGGCTTATTAAAAAGCTGAACTAATTTTGTTTTACTCCACAATAAAAGGCTATATGTGAAATGACACAGAGGTCTAAGTATTCCTCAGTGTAACTCTAGGTTCTGACTAAATGTGCCACTTTAACTATTTTGAAATGTTTCTGATGGGAGATAATTTGAAGAAAATTATATCTGCAGTCTTAAGAGCTAGAAATTTGAGTTGTAGTTGTTTTTAAAAAGGAAGTTCAGATTCTCAACATTCCCTTTGTCCATTTACTTTATTTATTTATTAGATTTCTATCCTGCTTTTTTCTTACAATGAATGCAAAGCAGCTTACATACTTCTGTTCCTCCTGCTTTCAAGCTTGTCCCCACAACAATGCGGTGAGGTAGGCTGGACTGAGCGTTTGTGACTGGCCCAAAGTCACTCAGTTGGCTCCATGACTGAGTGGGCACTAGAACTCAGATCTCCTGGTTCCAAGTCCCATGCTCTTAACTACTACACCACACGGGCTCTCATTAGTTGGGGTATGGAAGATTCATAAATTCAAAAGGTAGATCAGCAATGGAATATGCAGCCTATAGTGGTAGCTGGATCTCTGTCTTCAGAGATTTCCCAGGAAAGGTGCAAAGGCATCTGTCAAGGATGTTTTTGCTAGAGCAGTATCTTTCCTTAGAGCAGATGCCTGCTGGATTAGATGATCCACTAGTACAGCTGGGAACCTTGGGTCTGGTTAGGTATACATCCAAGGATTTCCAGTTATGGAAACTCTTACTTTTCATCAACTGCAACAAGGTAGACATTGTCTGTCCCAATGCCCAAGAAAGCTGCTCCCTTCTGGATGGAGTAGTGGCACTGAAAGGGAATCAAAAGAAGAAAAAAGGGGAATAGGGATTACCTCAACTCAAGACCCTCTTATAAGCTTTCTTGTAATTGTGGACAATTAAACTGATTCTCCTTAACTCAATCTGTTTTTTTAATTATGTCCAAATAATGATTAATGCTATTGATTGTAAATTGCTGTGTGGGTTTGTGTCTTTAATAGAAAAACAATTAATATATTAATTGCTTATAAACAATTAATTATAATTGCTTTATAACAAAATTAAGCCATTAATTAAGTAAAATCAATTGCTTATAAACAACAGCACGATTTGGTAGAGACATGGCTTATATCCAGTTACATAAATCCAATCTGTGTAATCTTCATTATACTCTTAGCAAGAGCATTCCAGAAGCGGGCATCAGAGCTAAAAAGGACCAGGATCTGCTCTCCACTCATCTAGCTCTGGAAGATCGGGACACCCAGAGATTCTTACACACCAACAGGCACATATGGGAATGGATGTTCTTTCATAGGCTGCCTGCGACATGAGGCTTTAAAAACAAGGACTTTTGTGGTCTTAGGCAAGACACTTTCTCTTAGCCTCAATCCCTTCTTTACAATACATGGGAATAATAATATCGATCTACTTGATGAAGGTATGCAGATAGAGAAAATTGACAGGGTTTTTTCAGCTGTGGTCCCCTGACTCTGGAATTCCCTCCTCAGGGAGGCTTTCCTGGCACTTAGTCCTACATCTTTTGACATGTAGGGGGGGTTTTTTTTAATTATTATTTTCCTTTGGCCAGGTCCTTCTAAAAATCTGATGAATCGGTTGATGGGGAAGACAGAAAGACAACTCGACAAAGTGGTGTTGTTCTAGTCCTATAAACTCTATTGATTGCTTTGATTTTTATCCCACCCCGTTAGCTCTAAGGTATATTCATTCTATTCTTACATAAAAAGAATATTTACCTTGCCCTCCAATAGCCTTCCTCTTGGGGAAGATTGCATTCATACAACAATGATCAGAGCACTCAAACATGTACAGCAGTGGAAACAGCAATCAAAGAATGCACAGACTTCAGAGGAACGGACTAAAGAAATGCACAACCTATGCATATCATTCCACTCAATGGGAATTACTCCTGAATGAACATGCCTAGATCATGTCCTCAGTCGATGTTTTTAAGGGGCTTGGAAAATTTTAAAGATGGTTGCTTCTGCTCTGGGCCCTTACAGGCCAGGGGAAAGAGGGGTTTTGGGGAGGGGAAGTGGGGGGAGTTCTGCACAGTCGAAGCAAGCTGTCTCACGAATGTCATGCCATCACCTTGCCTCATTCACTGAATTTTACAGGGGTGCCTGGATAAGGTTTTCTGTCATTTGTAGCTTTCTTCTTCTCACCACCTCTTCCATCTTTTCTCTTATCAGAAAAAGAACATTAAGGGTGGGGTGGAGGGAGGTGAAATAGCTTCACAGTGTCTTCTGACAGCAAGCACTAGGAGCCTTCCATCTTGAAAGACCCTTGATCTCCTTGAGCTAAAAAGTTCCCATCTTAAAAAACAGGATGGAAATTGCAGGCATAGAATGACTAGGTTGGAGGAGAGAAGAGAGAGAGAGGGTACAGCAGTGAACATCCCAGAGAAAAGAGAAGTTCCCCCCGCTTCAACCTCTTACAGGCTTGAATGAGGTTGACAAAAGCGGCTATGCTGACCCTAAATGATAGAGCTTGTCCTCAGCTCTCCCACTCACAGGAGTGTACAAACACGTGGAGAAATGGGCACTAGGGACCTCTCACCAGGAAGGATAGTTATTCCTACAGCCAAAATCTGTAGGAAGAACCTCTTCCTCCTCAATGAAGCAGGCTAACATGAACCAGGATCTGAGCTGGCCCCAGACATTTTACCACCTGAAGTGAGGGTCCTGGTGCCCATTCCGCATGCAGACTCCAGTCAGCCACAGTTACTTCAGTGCTGGTCATGGAGGCCACAGACTAGCTTAGTGGGTGCCAGACAGGCTTGCTAGCATGCATGGTTCTGCCTTTCAGTACTCTGCTCCCACCCTTCCACCCATCTGCTTCCCCAGGTGGCTGGCTCACTGTTACTAAGAGCAGGACTGGCCCTGACCTAACGTAAAGACTCCAGTCCCCTCGACATTAAAAAAGAGTTGCCTTGAAAGGAGAACATACCTCCTGTGAAGTAAAAGCTGCCAGTTTTGGGATTGCCCAATTACCCTTCTGCTTGCAGTCTGGGAAGCAGTGGAACCGTGCCACATTCATGGCATACATGTTGGAGATGGAGCCCCCTGCAGAGAAAAATAATCCTCATGATCAACATAATTCCATTTTATTCTGCACAGAAATATGTATCGCAAGAGCTATGTGTATGCCCTCATTCTGTAGTAATGCAGCAACGGCACAGAATGTGATGTTCAGGCACAATACATTTTCCTGAAAGTATCAGTTTTAACTGAAAGCAAGCTCTGAGCCTTCATGACTATGAAGATACAGTTCAGTAGCTAGTAATAATGCCAGCTAACATCTCAGAAGCCAGAGGCCTGATTAAGTGAAATTTCAGGTGGCTGGGGAAGCAGCGAAGCCTTGCATAGTCCCTTCACCAGGACTCTAGCTAGCTAAACCAGAAAACACGGTGCAAATAATAAAGAATCGATGTAAACATTTTGTAGATAAGGAATATTATAGAAATTTGCCCATATTGCAGAATGAAGAACATTTGGTGCTGAACTTGGATTACCCCCAACTAGCTTTTTTGGTTTAGTTTGACAGCTGTCAAAGGGCAAGCTGTCAACTCAATCCAAAGACTTGAGTGATTTACACCCCTTTGTGGCAAGATCCTTGTTTGTTAGTGATGGGGTGTGTGTGTTATTTAGCTGCTTGACCAGTTTTTGAAGGGGCTAACTGTCAAAATGGAGATTGTGAAAACTGGCTTTCAAACCAGAGCTCATGATCTATAGAAAACAAAACATTAAAATGGGGGAAACCCTTTGCAATCCTGGTGTGGGGGAATAACACTGCTCCTGCTATAGTGTCCCATGGGACACCCAGGGAAGTATCGAGGGGGAAGGTGGGGAAGGAAAGGGACAAACAACCTGTGGTAATCCTGATCATCTACTGGGTACTCTGTGGATTGTTTGGGAAACACCCACTCATTGTGGCTTATTGGCAGGGTAAGTTAGTGTGATGTGCAAGTGTGACCAATGTTTAAATGGATGGGCAAAAAGCCTGCCCGGGTGTGAGGCTGTTCCCTTTGCCAAAAGATGACATTGTGCTGCAAGGAAAAGAACCATAAGAGTTCCAAGGCAAGGGAAGAGATCCAAGCTTTGAAGGGCATTCAAATTCAAGGCTAGAGGTCATAAACTACTTGAAGGCCATGGAGAAGAAGAGAGACCACACAGGTAGGTTGTTGCCACCTACCCACATGTGAGAAGCGACCTACCAAATCTCAAGATTACCATAGTATTTCTGTGGTGAAATTCCCAGACGTATTCAGTCCAAGTGGATGAAATTGGCTTGAGCTGAGCACTGAGCAACCCACAGAAAATTACTGGTATACATGAGCCCTAAAACAAGTAATGGTAAATATCACCCTGTGGCAGCAGGAGGCTTCACACACCAGGGCAGAAGATGCCATCTCCTTTCTTCCAGCCAATCAGCTCCCGCAGCTTCTTCAGCACCACCTCTTCCATCAACACAAATACTGGGGCAATCTCATATGTGTACCTAGAAAAGGAGGAACAGGTGGTGCATATGTTTACCCAGGTCACCCATGTACAATTGCAGACAGGTCAACTCTCAAGCTTCGCTCAGCAACAGCACTTCTGAGCCAGGTCAAAACCACTCTGTGAATGTTTGGAGGGAAATTGGGAGTGCAAAACCATGCAGCTAGATGAGAATGCCACCACCTAAGTTGCTCGGCAGGGAAAGCAGAGCCACTCAGCAATGTACTAAAATGTGCAATAAAATAAAATTTGTAAAAAGAGTTTGCAAAATGGGTGGGAGAGAGTTGGGTCACTCATTATTCACTAAGTCACAGGGAGCATCCAAGAGCTGTTCTGACACTTGTGCTACCACTTCTTGCACAAACAAACATGGTATTGATGCATTCTCTGGGGGAAGAATCTTGTATTCCCAGGCATAAAAATACTGATTTCTGAGTACTCTGAAAAAAATGTGTTGGGCTTCCAGACACAGGGCTCTGGTGGTTACTCGTTAGAAGTCATTATGAGCAAGTCCATCTTTTGCTTGTTAACAAATTTTCAGTGGTAAGGAAAAAGATGGAAGAAGCAATGAGGAAACACTGGATTGCTATGAGTGCAAGATGATGTCATCTGGACACCCCCCCCCCTGCCCCCACATACAATTCCATGAAGATGGAGTGTGATGGCTTCATAGAAGCCTCATCTGGAAGCACTCTAAATTAGTTGAATGTAGCACCCAGTGAAATCAGTGGGACTTGCTTTAAGTAAGTTGGTCCATTTATTTCAATAGAATTCAAGTTCAACTAACTTTGGTTAGATCAAACCCAATACCATAACCTAGAGGGAACAATGCAATCTGAGGCACACTTATATGGAATGCCCCCATCATTATCATCATCATCTGTATCCCACCCTTCCACACAAGTGCTCAGGATGGCTTACATAGTATAAAATTCCAAAAGTACAATAATAAACCCACACTTATTAAAATATCTAAAACTGAACATTATAAACTAAAAAATAAGAAAGGAAAAAATAAAATAGGAAGTACAACTGTGAAAACAAAAAGAAAACAAAAAATCTAAAACCCTTAATTGTTAAAATGATGGTTACATAGAAAGGTCTTTACCCGGCACCGGAAAGAGTATAACGTTGGCACCAGGTGGACCACTCCGAGGAGCGCATTCCGTAGCCTGGGCGCCACTGCAGAGAAGGCTCTCCTCTGGGTAGACACCCTCCATACTTCCTTCAAGGAGGGTTCCGAGAGCAAGGCCTCCCCACCGATCTTAAGGGGTGTGAGGGCATATAGGGATTTCAATCAGATTTAACTCTTACTAAGCAGGCAATGTAAGCTCACTGAAAGCTGTAAGGAAAGAGTGCCACAAATGACAAACAAATGTGTTTTTTTCCCATCCACCAATTCTACAAGCTGAGGCCTTTTCTACACAGGGTTTTAATCGTGAGTGCATCATTCCCTTAATCATGGCTGTTTACGGATTCTTTAGATGATGCCATCTAGTTTGCTGCTCTGTCTCGTAACTCAGCAGGGGAAATGCAGTTTTTATTTAGGAAAGTAAATGAAAGTGCATTTTATTTGTGTATTTGTGCTACTCTGTTATATCACAGTGCTTAGAGGCTATCCAACAGAAAAGCAGGAAAGGAAACACTCTGTTGTGCTCAGTTCTCAATTATACAATGAAATGAAAAGGTGATATAGTGAATTAACAGCCAATTAATAGCCTTGGGTTGAAAACCTTGTACAGTGGAATAACCTACCTTGGGAACTGCAATTCTATGAGGTGGACTGGGAATCTCTAACAGAATTTTCAGCATCCTGCCAAACCACCATCCCTAAACCCCAGATTAATCTTTCAGCTGTGAAACTCAAGCTTGCAAAAGATCCAGCCTGCCCTGTCCCCATCAATAGACTCCTGTAACACAGCTATGGAGGCTTAAATTGTCTTTAAGTCCCCAGCTATAACTCTAAACTATGTCATAACTTCTCCCTCAAGTTCTTCTTCAGGCAGGGCTTTTGCCACCACCACAGAAGAAACAGAGGGGTTATTAGCTCTCCAGTGGCTTTCCTTGCTGTCATCAGGACAAAGAGCCCAAAACAACACTACATCCTTGACAAAGAAGGAAAGCATAGTTTATCACAAGTGAGAAAATTTGACAATTATCAGGATAATGAGGCACAGGAGGCTGGAGCAAGCTCAAAACATGACCAACTATGTGGCCATTTTAACTGGGTGCATTCCTAGTTTTCTTTTGGAGGAAGACATGACAGTTAAGTTGGTATAAAGTGTTGTTCACCACTCAGGGAGCTCCAGCTATTGGGCAGTATTGAAATAAAATCAAATGAAAATAAATCTGAAGCAATGGTATAGTGCAAACAAGCCCAGATTGGAGAAGGCCTTTAGGTCCTCCTGACTACCGGGTACTAGGTGTCTTGGGGCAACCAAGCTGTGGTTCTGCAGGAATATGTAAGAGGAGAAAAGGTGTGATGAGACAATGCCACATTAGTATTCACTCACTGGTTGAGAGCCAATAAGATGTAACAGTTAAAACGTCAAACTAGGATGACTAGAATGTCACCTCTGCTCACTCAGTCATGAAGCCCACTGGGTGAGCTTGGACCAGTCACTATTTCTCCACCGAAGTAACTCAGAGGGAATTGATTTATGGGAGTAAAGTGGAGAAGGCAAACTATGTACAGTTTCATGGAGAAAAAACAGGTATATAGATGATTAGTAAACAAACAGATGCATAAATAAACTACCTTCTGCTTTGCTTCATTGGCTGCAGCTTGTGGTAGATGGGAAAATACTCATAAAATACATGACATCACTATTTTTTTCTCTAGTAGGGAAAAACAGATTGAATGGCTGCATAGAGTAGGTGCTTAATTTCTAGATGAATACTCTTCCTGGATCAAGGATAAAGACAAATTATCCATTGACAGGATATTGTTGAAAGTGGTTTTTAAAAAGGATTGGTGTCCATGGCATTAATCCCATTCTCACCTTGAGGTTTGGATATTGTTTCAAAACCTTGCAAAACCTGTTTGATCATATGCAACAGCACAGCATGAAAGAAATAGGAAGCAATGCCTTTTGCCAAATAATTTTCCACTCCCATTAAAACATTACCCTTGCCTTAAGTCCAGGAAAGTCACAGCAGACTTAAGAGCAGACCCCTGTAACCTAATTTTTGAGGCCAATGTTCTTCAAAATGGCAAACACATACTGGCTGGTGTTGAGCATCTCTGTGATCAGCCGTCCAGCCAAAGCATGGTGATCAAGGCCTGAAAACAGCTGGTTGAAAAAACGTGGGTGACCTGGGAAAGAGAGGAAGAGAAAGAATATGTTTAGTTTGGCAAAATTAAGGAAACTTTGGTTCTGTGCTGATGTGTCTTTGCCATCATTTTATGCAATGCAAACTTATTTTGTGGTGGGTGGAGGGAATAAAGAACTCCTGTACAAAGCAAGTTAGGAAAATGTACTGCTGGAAGGGGCTTGCTGCCTGCAATAACTCCCACAAAAGCTTCCATGGAATGCCTCCATTCATGTGAATGCTGGGGGCGGTGGGTGGGGAATGACAAAATATGCTGCTTCACTAAGCACTTATTTACATGTGTATTTCTATATCATTTATATTTGCAGGAATGTTCATAATGGTTTCTTTAGGGCTTCCTGAATCCTAGCCTTATGTTTTCAAGGACAGAAAATTCCAGGTTGCTTTAGCCACACACATTGGCTTACAATTGCAGTCACCTTTCAATCACTGTGCAGATAGCATATATTAAATCCACTTGTCTTTATGTATGATGTGATACCCATGTTACTTATTGCATGGTCACTTAACCTGAGAAAAAAGGGATATAGCCTGAACCCTATATTAGCTTGGAACCTTCTTCATTACTTTAAAGTAACTTCTTGGTACCTCTTGAATTCATGAATGAATGAATGAATAAAATCACAGACTGAACTAAGGAGTCATGATCACAAGGTAAGATGGAAACAAGACCTAAACTTTACTAATTGCTAATGAACAAAAACTGGTACAGCAACAATAGTCCTACAGACACTGGTGAGGAACTATACCCCTTTGCATGTTAGTTATCAGTGCAAAACACTCACATGTTTTCACGCTGTATCGAATAACATTCCTACAACGCTTCAACAACTTCTCCTGTGGCTCCCCACAGTCTTTTAGATCCAGGTCCAAAATCTGCTGCAATTCCTCAGGCTCTTTCCATTCGCACACCTGCAAATAGGATGGTTGGTTCCTTTCCTATGATTCTAAACCTCTCAACAGCACAGTGCTATCTCATGTTATAGCAACTGAATGAGGAGAGGATTGCTACCAAGCTGTGTGTGCTAGCACAACCCCAGATGATGCAGGCATCTGATGTCATAAGGATGTTGTTATGCTGTTACAGCTTTATGCCAGCAACAGCTCAACACCATCGTAACTGCAGTGGTGCATGGGAGCAGGGAGTGAGTGGAAATGAGGGGAGGAATGTGTGCTGAAGCTTATTTGTTTCAAAGTAAGTTGTGAATCACATTTCCTCTACCAAGATGCTGCACATAAAGATAAGAATAATAAATGCAATAACAAAAATATGAAACTATTTGTTGCATCAATAAAATTGCAAACAACATTCAGGGGGCTTATGTAAGAGAAAGTACCAAACTTGATGTGTTTTCCATCTGAGGGGTGAGGTCAAATGAAACCATGGGACATTCATTACAGGATCTCCGACAGAGTCTTTCAAGAGTTCAGAGCAGCCATATAAGTACTCTTGCTAGTCCAGACACACTAGAATAAGAAGTTTAGGGTGCAAACCTTTCATCCCTGGGAGGATTCCATTGACATCCCCCTCTGAGGGGACAAAGGGAGGTCTTCTGCAAAGGACTACCTTGACCAGCATTGCCAAGCTCCACTGCTGTCACCGCTCCTCTCCACCACTGCTCCTCCAATGACAGCAAAGGCAGAAGGGGAGGGACATTATGTGGGGAGAGGCACGGAATGGGGCAGAATATGCCCCCACCAGATCCAAAGCATCCTCCTTTCCTGGGCATGCTCCCTAAAATGGGAGGAAACTGTCCCAGTTCAGGATAGTTATTTCCCTTCCCATTGGAATCTATGGGGCAGTCGGAAATAAAAACAGGATAGAAAAACAAAGAAGAAACTGTCCCCTTACTCCATTTTGCTAAAATCTGTAGCTCCTCTGGAAACGTCAGTCCTGTGAATTGGTCTGTGTGTGCAAATACATTTTAGACCCCTGGTCCATACCATTGTCTGAAATATACAGCAGTATAATAATACTGTAATAGAGAGGCTGGCCATCTGTGTCCCAGAAGAATGAGAAACCCAAAGGTCCTACCGTAAAAATATGCTCAGAAAGCCTTACCTTTTCAGAGGCATCCATCCCTTTTCTGACGCCTTCCTCAAGCATGATCTGGAATGCTGCCTGCAGGAACTCTTCGCCAGCCACTTTATCCAAGCCAGGATATAATAACTCATCTTCTGCCATGGTCAGTCCCACCTCTTCAGCAAGCCCCTGCAGATTCAGACAATATGATATGTCTTCAAACAATACTGAGATATTTCCGCATATCCCAGAACACACTGCCAACATTTATTGCAATCCGGAACACATCCTGAATTGGGTTTCTGATCAGAATGTCATTCTTGTGTTTTACCCTGGGGAAGTAAGAACTTTTTCAAGAAGAACTAGCATTCCCCCAGTTTCCTTTGCAATGTCTATGCCAATTTAGAGGTTTGGCAAACTCCTTTTTATACTAATGTATAAATTTTCTGATCCAAAATGCAGTCAACCAACCGGTAAGCTTTTACTAATACAGTATAAAGCTATCCTTATTGCAAGGACAAATGTAGTAGCTAGTTTTGTAGATCATTTGCTACTCGTAAGATCACATCAGAATACATAAAGCGATAGTGTCCACATCAGGGCCAAAGTCAAGAATTGGCATGGTTGGCAGCTGCCAAGGATTGATAAACTAGCAAGTACCCACTGACTAGAGTCCCCCAGAGTTACTTCTCCTCTTCTCTACTGCAACATGCTTATTCACCTGCCACTTATTCTTCTGCTGCCAAACAACCATCTAGTAAGAAAGAGAAACAGTAGCTGCCATGTGCTCTTGCCTGTTGTGGAAGTAAGCAGTGGCAATGATGAGAGAGAGGGTAAGGAGGAAGAAATGCTGGTCTAAGTGGTGGAATGAAAGGAGACTCTGTGAGGGAGGGATCCACTGAGGGCATTTGGCCTCAGAACCCTCCAAAACCTGGAACTGTATTCTTTTGCAGCTCAGGAGACTCATCTAGGTCAGGACAGCCAGTGTGGCATGCTGGTTACTGCGTTGGATAGGGGACTTGAGAGGCCCACGTTCTGCTGCCCACTCAGCCACGAAGCTCACTGGGTGACTCTGGGCCAGTCACTCACTCTCAGTCTTACCTACCTCACAGAGTGGTTGTAGTGAGGATAAAAAGGAGAGGTGGATAACCTTGCATGCCACCCTGGGTTCCTTACAAGGGAAAGATGAGCTATAAATATAATTTAATAATACTGTGATTAAAAGCAGCAGAGACTAGCAACAATGCATTAACGTGCCTCTTGATAACAATGTCTTACAACTTCATGATTCTCTTGTGTTCTTAAAACATTTTGTTTGCATTTATTGGTTTGGTTCTTTGAGAGATGTGTCTGGCCCCTTCTCTAGCACTGGAATGGATATATACACTTTGTGGTATATGATTTGGGTTTTTAAGCAAGTGTTTGTCTTTCGAACAGCAAATATCCCTCCCTAAAGCAAGCTGCCTCTATTGTTCATGCAGGAAAGTGATATCACGGTATTAGCACTAGCAGGATCAAGTTGCACTGTGCTAATCAGGTCTAAGTGCTCTTAACACTAAGAATTCTGTGCTAAGAAAAACAGAATTCCATGAACCATATAAATTAGGTATATTAAGCAAATTTACACACACACACTCATTACTTCATTGATTCTACCTCTGAAGATCAGGTATTGGACAAGAAGCAGCTTGTAAAATCTAGTATCACATTCATACAGCCAAAAACTGAAAAGATTCAATTGAACTTTTGTCTCTTAATTTTCCATCAACCCCTGCTCTAAAACGACAGCATAATTTAACAATGGTAAAGATGTTCTATTTTTATAAAAATGAACACTGTAATACAATGCAATGCTTGTATATTCAAATGCTCCACTAAGTTTAAGAACAGCCACCCATATATAGCCACCAGAAACATTTGTAACAAGTGATATGCAGATGAGATTACTTTCCTGTTCCCTTTCTCTACCTTTCCCTCCCCATTTGCCAGTAGAAGGGTGCAATAGGACCTTCAATGAATCATTTCTGTGCAGGATTTCAGCCAGCCAGTCATGCCCTCTTAGTGATTAATGCATTCCATTTCCTCTTCCACCCAACAATCAGTATGTGGCCACTGAGCATGTTCAGTCCTCCTTGGACTGCTGGGGTAAGGGTGATCCTTAGGTCTTTTTCTTTTGTTAGAGGGATGTTGTAGTTGTTGTTTTATAAATAAGTTTGTAGTTATGCAAAACTTGGGTTTCCCCAGCCTACTGATACTCTTCTTTTGTGCATGGATGGTGCTATTTTGGGTTCATGACAATTAGTACTTACCCTCCAAAACTGCATGTGGAGAAAATGATGCCTTTATGTTAAAAAACAAATTAACTTGAGTGATCAAGCAGAATGGAGGGCTCTTCATTCCGCACTTTTTAAAACTCTATTTATTAAGAATTTCAAAAACAAATCACATAACTTTTCTACATAGTCACCTTCCTTTGAGATGCATTTTTCCCAGCATTGTACCAACTTTTTAATGCCATCAGCAAAAAATATATAAGATATATTTATAAAATATAAAAGTGTGGAAACTTTTTGAAGACCCCTCATATACAAGTGTAATAACTAAGTCCACAAAGAAGCACTCCCCACCAGTTTTCTGACATGGGAAATATTACTCAGTACTCCTAACAGCCACCCACAACGCTTTAAAGCTCTTATTCCTAGCCATATTCCATATTTCCAACTTTTCTGGGGATCTGATTTTTTTTTTTTTTTTGGTTAACGTAGCTTGAGATTTTCAGAATGATGAATTCTGGTTAGGTATCACATCCCAAACAACTGCACAACTGCAGTACATCCTAATGATTACAAACTTCACCTCCTTATAGCCTTGGCTGTATCTCTACGATTTCTTTATACTAAGAGTGCTAATCATTCAGCAGAACCTCTTTGCTGTTTCTCTCTGTGGGGATCACTTCTTTGGCGTCCAGCAACCTTCCTCTGTCTTGTCGAACAGGTCTTAGGTGCTCCCTGTCATCAAAACGTCATTGCTCCTCGCAAAAGGGATAATTCCATTCAAAGCATTCGCCCACGCTTTCGGTGATCTAAATCTCTTCTAGCACGAAGCTCCATTCAGCACGGAAAACGCCTTCAGTCTGCCGAGATATTGCTTTGTAGGGATTATTCTCCCACGTCAGAATAGGGTGGGGGAAAGAATATTGTGCCCAATTGCTATGGTTACCTGCTCAATCCTGAGCAGATCTCCACTGTTTTCTGAGACAAAGTACAAAGGGTAACCTCTGTTACTGACAAGTATCATTCTACACAGTGGGAGTAGAGATATTTTCATGAGAACCATGCGCTTGATTGCTACACCAGCGAAGTCCCTTATTTCATGTGCTGATGTTTGTTTATTTTTAACTCTGAAGATTAAGGATGGAACACACTGTGCGCCTTTTGAAATGCTCAAAGAAGCATTTGTAATTGATTGTGCCAAAACAGCTCTGTGTTCCAGTGGTTCTAAGTCTTCCAAATCTGTAACTCTGTCTAATGGCAATAGGAGGTTTTTACATACACATAGAACATATATATTTCAAGTCAACATGCTGTTTAATGCTGGAATGCACACGTGTATGGAGTTCCTTTTCCAAGGAGGTAGCATTGTGTGTTTGCAGTAAAGTCCTATTCGTGCAGTGTTCTCCTAAACATGCTTTTTCAGATATAAGTCCCATTGACTTCAGTGATGCCTAAAATTTAAGTGTGCTTAAAATTGCAGCTTCAGACCATTTTTAGTTCTTGTTTGATTTACTGTTTTTGCATTTTTGGCTGCTACTATTTATTCAGTTACTGTTAAATACTGTTAAAATGTATTGTCTTAGCAAATATTATGAATATTGAAGCCACATTGGCCACATTGCTGGAAAAATGCAGTATAAATACAATTATAATTATTATAACTGTAGGGTGCATAAATAGGACATTGGTTAGGACTGTTGATCCTTTCACTTGTGAATTGAGATGAGTGCATCCTACACCACACCAAGGACACTCCTGCATTGCTGAAGAAGATCAATAACTGTGGAAAATCTGTCTTTCAAATAAGCTTCTCAGCTATTAAGATCACCACCTAATGAGAAGGAAGGACTCCCTGGAGAAGAGCCTAATGCTGGGAACAATTGATGGCAAAAGAAGAAGGGGACGGCAGAGAATGAGGTGGCTAGAAGGAGTCACTGAAGCAGTCGGCATGAGCTTAAGTGGACTCCAGGGGATGGTGGAGCACAGGAAGGCCTGGAGGAATGTTGTCCATGGGGTCGCGATGGGTTGGTCGGACAACTAACAACAACAATAGACCTCAGAGAAATCCCTTGCACACAACCCCCACCTATGTGAAATACTGAAATGCACTGGCATATTTGCAGTTCTTTTCTGAACACTTGTAAGTGACCAACTCAGTCTTTTAGCACAGGATGTCCTCAGCCTTATCTGACTTGAAGAGCTGTAAACAATTGTAATTGGCTGCTACAATTGCTAGCCCTCCGGGCTTGAGTTGTATCAACAGGTGCAGTAACTGTCCTTTCACAAAGTTCACTTAAGGCTCAAGTTAATACAAAGTTTCCCAGAGTTTTAATAGGTGGGACAAAGGTTTTCCAACCCTGTAAAAAAACCTGAACTTATTCTTAAACCCCAAAAGATATGCTTGTTTCTTAATCAGTTCCCCACACAATAGGCAGACATTGTCTTTTTACACCTGAACAGCAACTCAGTTAAGAGTTAGACATTAAAGATGGGGGTAGTGCTGGTCTGGATGGACCTTTGATCTGTTCCATCATGGCTTTTATGTTCTTACATAGTGCACAGCAGTAAAAGAATACATATGAATAATAAGAGCTGGAAAAATTGATGATTTGGATCCCCCATAGTGTTTCCTTTGAAAATTGAAGAAGTGATGCTTTGTTAAAAGGGTGTTTAGCCCTTATCTCTGACGTTAATTCTGTTAGATGGGATTGAGAGGGAGAGACACTTAAGTTTCTCTCAGAGAAAGTCACCATCTTAATAAACATGTATTAAAACTCATTCAATGGCTGTACAGTGTATAGTTAACATTCATTTCGACTTTAGGCTCACACATTTTAGAAACTAAATTTTGTGCAATTGTGAACTTTTTTTCTAGTGGGCTGTTTCATCTAAAGGCCAGAAAGCTCCTTTGCATTTACATCAGTTCAGGAAGAGCTAATATTGCAGATAAACATCAGAAAAACTGACACAAAGGCAGCCAATGGCTTATATTTATACATGTGATATTGGAGGTACTGTTCTTTTTTAAAGGTGGGATAAATTGTTCCACTGTCCACCAGCAGTTCCAAGCATAAGAAATCAGTGAATCTGTTTGCATGGAAGGACTGATGCCTTCTTCCTCACCAACAGATCTACATGCACCCATGCAAGGAAGAGCTGCAGCCTTAATAGTGTTTCTATACTGTCATTTGCCAGGGTCTCAGGATGGTAATACAATGCAATATGAAACAGATTATTTACTTGTGAGTAGCATGCATCCCAGTGTAGCTCAGTTCATACACTTAGGACACAAGCCTATGCCTGTTTAGACAGAAAAAAGAGGCCAGAACTCCCAGCATGCCCAGTCAGCAGCAAGCTGTCAGTCCTAGACCTTTCCCCCCTGTCTACCCAAGCATAGGGTTGGATCCTGAGGCTTTGGGAGGTTTTAGCTGGTACGAGTAAACATGTTTAATGTGCAAATAGGATCAGGTGATCATGCTTATCTCCAGGCTGTGAGAAGTTTTACCTGCTATGGTGCAGTGGTTAAGAGCATGTGACTGGGACTCAAGCCATCTGGGTCTAGTCCCTGCTCAGCCATGGAGGCAACTGGGTGACTTTGGAGCAGGCACAGACTCAGCCTAACTCGCAGGAGTGTTGTTGTGGGGATAAAATTGGGAGCAGAGGGAAGAGAAAGTTGCTAAGTTCATTTTTTCATTAATTCATTCACTTAGGGCTTTTATAGCCTGTCCATCTACTGGTGTCTTGGTTTACAACAAAGCAACAGATAGAATAGAGCAGTGGTACTTCTCTTTTTAAAAAGAGAAAGAAGGGTTATAAATCTAATAAATAAAGAAATGGATGAGGCTGCTGCTCAAGACAGCAGAGCATACCGGGACAATTTTTCAGCTCCTTTAGCAACCTTGCTTTCTCTACTTAACTATGTAGAGTTGCATAGAAACCTTCAACTGCAGATAACCCCCAGTAAGTGACTGTGCACATGCTAAGGAGGATGGGAATTCTATGCCCTTAATGGTTCAGAAAGGGAGGAGACTTTGACAGGTGCAGCCTTTTCTCACACCTCTGTAACAAATTGTATCTACTGAAATACACTGGGAAACACACTTGCTTGGTATGGATATTGTTGGGAAAATCCAGAATAAATCCTGGTAGGAAAAGGTTCCTTATATGTGCCTTTGTGTTATAAAATCAAACCTGTGCACCTTTCTCAGAAAGCAGCAGAATTCCAAGCCAGGTTACTGTTCAGCATTTCTGTTACTTTAAGAAGATGGAATTCTTAGCTGGACTGAGAAATTGCTGTAGGCTAACATTATCAGTGGGGAAATATTGTTGTTCCCATCAACTGCAGAGAGCTGAGACAAAGGTACTCATTTGTTTCTGAATGGACCCATTTAATCATCTAGTTCAACAAAGGCAAGCCCCTGCACAGTGTAGTTGTCAAGCCAGTTTTCCTGAATGGTTCCTCAATCAGACATTTTGTATGTTTAAGCAGACACAGAGGCTGATCCAAACTGTCAGGAAATCACTGAATTGACTTGTCAGTAAGGCTCAGTCAGGGAAATTTTCTATTCTATTGTCACTGGCATTGTAGTGGCTAAGAGCATGGGACTGGGACTCAGATGATCCGGGTTCTAGTCCCCACTCGGCCATGGAGCCAACTGGGTGACTTTGGGCCAGTCACAGACTCTCAGCCCAACCTACCTCACAGGGTTGTTGCTGTAGGAATAAGATGGAGGAGATGTAAGCTGCCTTGAGCCCTTTGTAGGAAAAAGGCAGGATATAAATTGAAAAATAAATAAATAAATTTCTGATCAGTTTATAGTACTGTTTTGTGTATGAAGACATCAAGATGTTATTATGTTAACATTATCTGGAAACCTAATACTGTGTATGTGATTGGAAAGTTATAAAAATGTCTATACACGGGCTGTGATTTTGTAGTTGGCAGTAAGACCCACTACCCAGTAGCATGCTGTTGTAAGTAACTGCAGGGTGCCTGAGTGATGTTTAATAAACTGCTGAGGCTCAAGGTAAAAGGGGTCTTTCCTTACTGAACCCAGTTATCCTAAGTCACAGCTGCTATCGAGGCATCCCGATAATATCGCTAATACTGTGCTGTTATTGGATTATTAGCTTAAATTACTGTAACTGTTTTCCTGTATATATATTATACATCAACAATGTGCTTAATGATCTAAAAGGTAAGACATAAATTAAAGAGATCCAGTGTGGTGTAGTGGTTAAGAGCATGGGCCTGGAACTCAGACAATCTGGGTTCTAGTCCCCACTCGGCCATGGAGCCAACTGGGTGACTTTGGGCCAGCCACAGACGCTCAGCCCAACCCACCTCACAGCGTTGTTGTTGTAGGGATAAGATGGAGGAGGAGATATAAGCTGCCTTGAGCCCTTTGTAGGAAAAATGCATGATATAAATCAATCAATCAATCAAATATTGAAAATATTAAAACTACAAGAACAAGGCCTGGATTCCTTTGCATCAGGTCCTTGTAGACTATTTACATGGCGTCAGTGTGAATCTAAACTGAGTTCTGGAACATGCAATAAGAAAGAGTTCCTATAGGTTTGCACAGAGTGCCTTTCCCTTGGCACTAGGTGACCCTAAGTTAACTTGTCCTTGCTCATTGTGGGCTAGAAGGCTCAGACTATGAAGCTGTCTGAATTACAACAACGAAATTTACAATTAACCAATGTTCAAGGAGCTTATCGTGCAACATGCTGCATCTTACAGAGTAGTTCAGCCTCTCGCGTGAAAAAATGTGGGGGGGGGGCGAAGCACGATGACACCTCCCGCTGGTTCATCTGCCTCCCTGGGCCTGGTAACCTTGGTAACACCCGCCCCTCTCCCTTTCTCTGCTCCCTACCAAGATGGCGGCAGCAGCACCCACAGATCACAGGGAACCCGCCGAGCACGCGCGTGCGCATGGCTAACAGCCAAGCGGAAGCGGTTGCACTTGCCGTGTGTACCGGGCTCCCACCTTTCCGCTTCCGGGACGGCGGTGACGGCGACGGTGGTGGCGGGGGTCGGGAGGGCTCGGCGGCGGCGGCGGCGGGGACGGCAGCAGTGGCGCCTGGGCTTGCACTGGTCTCCCCGGGAGCTGGGGAGCTGGAGCGACGGGAGCGGAGTCAGGTGCGGCTTCTGCACACGCGTGCGCGCCGGTTTCCCGGGAGCGGTGCGCGCCTCTGGCCTGGCGCGCTCGTGCTGTCCGTTCATTGTGAGCTCTGGCAGGGATCGAGCTTCCCCTGCGCCGCGCCGGCCTGGCCTCAAGTGCACTTCCTACCCCGGAGCTTACCCGGAGGGTCCGCCCAGGGCACCTGCTCGCGCACACCTGCTGCGGAGCCTTGCACTGCTTGTGCATGAGGCCCCGCCGGGTGCACGGAAGCCGCGCTCCTGCAGGAACGGAGCTGGGGAATGGTGTTTGCGGAGACAGTGCTTGCATGAAGTAGATTTAGGGCGATTGACTGGAATACCGGGAGTTCTTTGCTTCGAATTTTGCTTCTGCCGCGTATTCAGTCTTTCCCATCCCCGGGCTTCCCTGATTTTAGGACTGAGATTCCCATCAGCACCTGCCAGCATGGCCAATTATCAGGGATTATGGGATGGATAGTTCAAAACATCTAGAGGATGCCAACCTAGGAAAAGGCTGTAATACGTGATCCTATGTAAACCACCTCAGACATGCACCTGCAGGGTAGATCCTAACATAAATACACCTCGTTCTACAGTTCAACTTCTGTAAATACTAAACATTGCCATGATTAATCCTCACCTTTTATCTGTTTTTTTCAAAGAAGTCGGAGTGCCATATGTAAATAAGGGTTTGCAACTCTCCTGACTTCCAGAGATGGTGCAGCTTCTGGCCCTCCAGATTCTGTTGGACTGCAACTCCTATCATCTTTCATCATTGGCTCTGTTGTATAATGCTCTTAGGAGCTGCACTCCACCAGTGTCTGGACCCACAAGCTGCCCATTCCTGCCTTATTTTCTCAATAATTCTGAAAATGTGAGTAGCAGGCTATCATTGTTAGAGCTGCTTCATACCATTCCTACATGGAACAGCATTTTTGTCTGGAATACATGTAAAATCAATATGATTTTATTTAGAGAGCCAATGTGGTGTAATGGTTAAGAGCACAGGGCTGGGACTCAGGTGATCTGGGTTCTAGTCCCTACTCAGCCACTGAGCCAACTGGGTGACGTTGGGCCAGTCACAGACTCTCAGCCCAACCTACCTCACAGGATTGTTGTGGGGATGAGACTGAGAGCAGGAGGAGGAGTATTATGTAAGCTGCTTTGAGTTCTGTGTAAGAAAAAATGTGGGATATAGGTCTAATAAATAGGCTGAAAAACTATTTATAAAATTATGGCAGGATGCAGCTCAAATAAACAAAGAAACCACAGGATGATGCTGCATGCAAGAGACGGCTACAGGTGAAAAGCAAAGTGGATGTGACACCAAAAGGTCCACGTGTCCGACTGTTTGCTCGTTTTCTCTTATACCTTGAATGGCCTCCTGACACATCTGCTTGAATCATCTTCTCTTTGTTCAAGGCCTATCTCAAAACCTATTTTTGTTATGGAGCAAAGGAAAAAGGCCCACAATGGCTAGTATCCTTTAGCTAGCCATGTGGACTCAAGAAGACCAGGAACTGTTTTGGTTTTTTCCCCCCTATGAAAACATGCAAGGAGTTGCACCTAAAGTTTTCAGCCCCAGATGCAACTGAGACTTCAATCCTGCAACCATTTACTCAGGAGTTCATCCTCTGAACTCAGGGATGATTTCTGTCTAGGTAAGCATAGGTTGGCACTGTAGCTATGCTAAACTGTCTTTGCAGATATTATGTGCCCCTTTGAATTTTTTTGTTTTCTTTCATTGATTTTCTCTTCTCTCTTCCTCTGGAAGACTTCTAATGCTATTTTAATAGCATTTAGAGTGTATGCTCCTTGGGGCAGGGACCTGTTTGTTTTCCTGGTGTTGCAAAGCAGCATGCATCTTGATGATGCTCTGTATGTTGTAACTGTCATTAGGCAATACAGTAAATTGAATGAGTGCATAAACATACTAAACAGAGATAGTCTGATAAAAACATATGACTTGTTTCTAATTCTGCATGCTCCTCTTGGAGGAGACAATTGGCTTTTATTAGCTGCCCTTACCTGGATGATTGGAGCCATTGAGTGCCAGATGCCTGCTGTCACCTCAGACATACTAATTCACCCTGAACAAATTATATAGGCAATCCTGGACCCCAAAGCTATTCCATTTAGGGAGAGCACTGCCCATGTTGGATAAAGACACAAATATCTTCATGTAGCTTCTTATGGCATGGCAGAAATTCACTCAGTAATAGACTTAGAAAGGCCTTTGGTTGAAACTATTTACCTATCCATTCATCCATCCATCCTTACAGTATATTTCTACTGCTCCACATTGGAAGATTCTGTAGCAGTGAACTGCACATGATTAAAACAAAAGAATAAAAAAATAACTAGACTATTTAAAAATAAAATTACATTAAAAACATGGCTGGTCAGCAAGAACAGTATTCCAGAAATAAGATTGCTTTTAGCAGGCATCGAAAATAGCACAGTATTGTGCCTGCCTGACCTCCCAAAGCAGGGAATTCCTTAGAAATGGGGCCACTACACTGAAGGCTAGTGGTCTCCAATCAGGCCCATGGGTTCAGGTGGAATCACCAGGAGAATGCCTCAGTGACCAGGTAAGGAAGGAAGAAGTGCTTTTTCAAGTACCACGATCCCAAGTTGTTCAGGGCTTGTATCGTAGGGCTAAAAATTTTAAACCTGACCTGATAGTGGAGATGGCCAGCAGAGGAACTAGACATTGAAAAGGCATCTCTCAACATCACCCAAGCCAATGCGTTCTACACTAACTCCAGCTTCCAGCATAGCCTTGAGGGCAGCCCCAGATAGACATATTGCAGTAATCCACTCTGGAGCTTACTAGCCTGTATCACTATAGCCAAGCTGTCCCAGTCCACTAGATGCTGTAAATCATGGGTCCTCAAACTACAGCCCACGGGCTGGATCCGGCCCGCCATGCCCATTTATCTGGCCCGCCGTAGAGGTTTTGGACTCCCTGCACCCACCTGCCCTCCTGCGGGCGCACACGCACAGGGCAAGGCGGCAGCTTGCTCATGTGGAGCTGCACGAGCAAGCCACCACCTCACCATGTGTGCACCCAGCGGTGGCTTGCTCGTGTGGAAATAGTTTTGGAATCGCTTGGAGAAAATGATCTCTGTGTGCCCACTTCCACCTCACCTCGCCCCGTGCGCCCACTCCCTGTCTCGCCATGCATATGCGCACACCCCGCCCCAGCCCTCACCCCCTCACCAGCCCTTGCCCCCTCACCGGCCCGTGCCCCCCACCAGCTCCTTTCAACTGGTCCCCTGTTGAAAAAGTTTGAGGACCCCTGCTACAAATGCTGAATGACTTGGAGATGGTAAAAGGCACTCTGAGCCATCACAGTCATGTCACTTGGGAATCCAGTGACTGCAATGGATGTAGAAATACCCCCAGATTATGACCCTGATCCTTTCAGGGAGGATGTAGCCCCTTCCAAGACACATAATTCTGCATTCCAGACTCAGGAACCATCACTCCACAAGACGTATACCTTTCCAGGATACAGTTTCATTTATTGGCCCCCATCCAGCCCATCATTGGGTTCAGCCACTGATCTCTGATTTGCACACCCTCGCCTGATTCAATTATCACAGGGAGATAGATATACATTGGTTCAAAATGCCTAGTGATGGTTCCCAGGAGTATCATACAGAGGTTAAATAATATTGGGGACAGGATGTTCCCCTGTGGAATCCTGTAACTCAATTGTCAAGGGCTTGAGGAATGCTCACCCTGTTACTTTCTGAAATCAACCCTGCAGGTAACACTGGGACCACTATGAAACAATGCCTCCAGTATCTAGCATGTGGAGGAGGATACTGTGGCCAATACAGTGGCCAAAAGCCAGTGCGAGACTCAGTAAAGTTAACAGGGTCACACTCCTTCCTCTTCCAATAAAGGTTATCCATCAGGGCAACCTAGTCTGATTCAGTCCCAGTACCAGGTCACAGCTGAAACAGAAATAGGTCTACATAATCAGTATCTTCCAAGAACGCATGCAGTTGCTTTACCACTACCCCCAGAATGGGGTATTTGCTACTGGATAGTATTTATCAAATACCATTGGATTCAGACTAGCGTTTTTCCATTGGATTCAGACTAGCGTTATTCTATTACTGCCCTTTGAGGACAGCAGGAACCACTCTTTTGTGCAAATATGCATTTACCACTCCTTGGACCTGCCCAGTTAAATCCCTATCGCCAGGAAGGGCCAGGATCAAGACAGTCTGTGATGGACTGTGGCTGCAAGCACCTTGTCCAAGCCAGGCTCTAATAACTGAAAAGGATTCCACAGAATCAGGCAGGTGGTGGCATCAGAAACTTGGCTGGAGCTCTGCTAACAACACCAAGTGCACTGTGGAGACCGGTGATTTTTTCCTCAAAGTGCCATGCAAAGAGGTCACAGCATGACTTTGAGGGGGCTAGGGTCCCATTCATTGGGAAGAGGGTCAACATCCCCTGGGCCACACAGAAAAACTCACACTGCTGTGCAATAAGCAGGATGTTTGGTCATCTTATACTGTTTGCATTCTAGGGAATGTTGAGTCTCTTTCCTGCAACTACACCTTCCTAGTATACTAGGGAGCAGAGTGGCCTTTAATAAAACCTCCCTCATCTATGATATGATTATTGATGAGGGTGCCAACCTGGTTTGTATCACTGAGACATTGGGTGGGGGGGAGTTCCCCTGTCTCAGTTGTGCCCAACTGTGTACTTGGCGCAGCACCAGCATCACCTGAAGGGCTGTGGGGGTGACGATAGTCTATAAAAATACACTTTCTCTCATCAGACTTCCTGTCCAATTGGGGGCCAGGTTTGAGCATTTGTACCTAAGATATGTGAGACCAGTTAGGGATTCTGTTGTTGTACTATACACCTTGTCTGAGCTGAGAGGCAGCTCCAGACACCCATATTACTTTGATATTACATCACTTGCATTGTCTATCAGTTAAGCGCTGGGCCCAGTTAAAGGTGCTTGTCTTAGCATATAAACTCCTAAACAGCTTGGGAGCAGGATCCCTGAAGGACTGCCCACTCTAATATGTACTACTTGGTCCCTAAGATTGGGTGAGGAGGCTCTCCTGAGGGAGCCATCCTCCAAGGAGGTAAGGAGGATGGCTAACAGAAGAGGGGTCTTCTCAGTGGCTGCACCCTATCTATGGAATGGCCTTCCAAGAGTAGTTCACCTGGCAACATCATTGCAATATTTCCAGTGCCAGGCAAAAAATTGACTCTCTTCTCCAGACAGTTTAATAACTGATTTTATACTGTTCCATTTTTAAGGTAAAGAGTTGTATATTGTTTAGTTTTAATATACTATTTTAACCTATTTATATCTTCTCCTTCAGTTGCATATTGTATATTTTATTGTGTGATGCTGTTTGTATTGCTTCTTTGAAATCTGCTTAGAGAGTCTTTTTGACCGATTACTGTGGGATATAAGTTGAATAAATAAATAAATATAACACTGGATAGGTAACTTTGGGTGTGATCAAATCTACAACACTACATTTCACTGTTCCACAGCGATACTAGAACCTTAGCAGGATCAACGGCTCTGTCCACTGGGGAAAACCCTAAGACCATTCAGAAATCTATGAGATTTGATTCGTCTCCCAGGGTGGACCATCTGAAAGGCCCTCACATCCCTACAGGAGGAAAGTAATCTTGTGAGTTCAAATCTCATCAGCAAATGGGCTGCCCACAATGCAGTTATTTGCCCCTTCCCCAATGTTCAGATTACTGATTTCACAGCTTGGAAAAAGACTAAATCAAGGCGATGCCCCACTTTATGTATTGGGCCAACAACAAATTGAAGTCACAGTCATCTGAGCTGGGGCTTCAGAGGCAGCCTCAGTGTGGAAACTGAACCCACCCAGGACTACTGTCCTGGGCTCCTTCGGCACCACTGCCATCTCAGTCAGGGAGGATGCTGGTCAGCAAGGTGGGCAGCACACCAGCAGCATCCTCATCTGTCTCTGTGGCCCAACACCAAGTACAACCCTCAAGACCTGCTCCATGGCAGAGCGGTGCCCTGGTAACCACAAAGAGGAGAGCTCAGTGGGTGAGTTATCAGACATGAGAGCTCGAGCTACACTATACGCATGTCACCCATTCTGGTCTGATGCCATGGCCCCTCCTGCCATATCTCCTCCTGCCCCAAGTCACTGGGATGGCAGCACTGAGCATTTTTCACAGAATAAGTGATTATCTTGTAGCACCAGCCACTCTTGGCTCTTCAAAAATGTTGGAGACAAGAACCCTTTAGCCCTCTACTGATACATCTTGTGCCACCTGAGCAGTATTCTGAAAAGGATCCTGCCTTGGGGCCCATCACTTTGGGGTTGTTTTCTTTGTCCACACTGTGCAGGTTTACAGATTTGTAGTCATTAAAACTCACTCTGTTTTTGTGTACGCAGCATTTGGTCCCCACATGAGTATCTGTGGCTTTTTAGTGTTATAAATGAATAGGTAAGGTAATTTTCAATGATTGCACTGGGTTCTCCATTCTTAAGCAAGCATTAGATGTTTCAATCAACTGATGTTGTTGTTGTTATATTCAGGGCTTGCACTTTGTAAGATTAAAAATGCTTTGAACTTCGGGCATGCTCCCTCCAGTTTGTTTGTTTGTTTGTTTGTTTATTAGATTTATATCCTGCCTTTTTCCTAGAAAGGATGCAAGGCAGCTTGCATCTCCTCCTCCATCTTATCCTCACAACAACAACCCTGTGAGGTAGGTTGGACTGAGAGTCTGTGACTGGCCCAAAGTCACCCAGTTGGCTCCATGGTTGAGCGGGGACTAAAACCCAGATTGTCTGAGTCCCAGTCCCATTCTCTTAACCACTACACCACACTGGCAGTTATACTTTGATGATCCACAGGTCATTCTGTAACTTGTCTGTGCGCATCCAGTATTTAGGGTTGTTAACATTGCATAGAAGCTAAAAAAATGTCTAGATGCTAGACTGAATTTGTGTGTTGTTTAGATACATGTGGGAACTTAGCATTCTCTACATAAACTGTTTTTCTATGACTCTTAAAGCTTAGTCCTTTGTGCTTCTCGTGCTGGGAATTATAGGCCTTTTTGCTGTCTAAACTTGCACCAAATTGTGTCACTGATATTGTAATCTGATCTAAAGAGCCATCATTTATAGGGCTGTGTGTACAATGTGCTCACATGTGCTTCTGGAGATATTCTGAAATAGAAGTTGCTCAAAGGAGTCCTCTCTTGACTGGAAAGAGTAGCATGTAGGTTGGCTGCCAGTACTTAAGCCTGGACAATTACTTAAATACTCTACCTCTCTGTTCCCTTTTTTCATTGACACTGAAAAGCTTCTTGGTTTCCAGCATGGACCTAAAGTCTGCTGTGTTGTATACACATAGCCATATTTTTAACATGCATAGGCTCATGTGCAAAGGCTTTTGAAAAAGCGACATGTTGTGGATCATGGTTTGTGATAGTATGGAGAATTATCCAGGTTGTTTGACTGGCACAGATACTGCGCAAGCCATGATAACAGTCGGATGTCATCAAAAACTGGTTTATCCATGAGCAAGTCTGGGGAGCAGAATCAAAGTCAATAAATCTTTCTTTTGGCTTCACCCACAGGTGGACAGTGGAAGAGGAGACACAGCGATACCGTGGCAGCTGTGCAAGGAGGACTTCAGCATCCTTTCTCCAGAGAGGGCCATCCTGAAGGGGGATTTAGGTTTGGGGTGACTCATCCACAAGAACAGCACAGTCTGTAACTTTCCTCAGCTTTTAACAAGGCTGAGGAAACTTGCTGCACACCATTCTGGGCTCTCCAACTCCAGAAAGATGTCAACAAAGTGGAAGGTATTGGACGGGACCAGCGCAGAAACGATTTACTGAAAAATCTTTGTAGTCGTAAAATTCTTTCCTGGGCAAGAGAGAGAGAGAAAGCGTAAGGACTTGGCGTAATCTACGTGTTGAGGACTGTCAGACTAACGCGATGGCTCAGGTAACAGGCCCCGGTTCTCCCATCCTGTCCAACAGGAATTCACCATTACAGGAGGTGGCTGCGAAGGCCCTCAGTGACAATCGGTTCTGTGTAACTCTCAGCTCTCAATACTCTGCTGCAGCGGAAAGTGTTCCAAAGCCTGGATGGCTGGACCCTTCCTGGGCAAGGTGCTTGAGGTCCAGGTCATCTTTACAGCCATGATCAGGGATTATGGGAATTGCAGTGTCTAAAATGTCGGGAGGACACCACATTGTATAAGGTAGCTTAGTCTGAGAGAGAGGGAGCAACTGACTTAAGGTTACCCATTGAGTTTCATGACCAAGCAGGGTTTCTATAGTTCTAATAGAGCACGCTGTCCAGAGCACCACACTGGTTCTCTTCAACACTGAAGCAACTAGCATGAGTCTGGCCCAGTGCTAATTGTCTTATTTCAGTATGCACATAACCAGGTAAGCAGAGATAGATTTCCTTTCCCTCATATCCCTTCCCCAATTATCATGATGTCCTAGAATCCCACAACCTTAGGAAAAGAGCACCACAGAAAGGTAGAAAAGAGAAATTCTAAGTAGATAGTCTTGCCATTAATTCTTATACTGCTTGGCTGAGTTAACTGAATCCAGGGCTGGATCCCCATCAGCCTGCCCAGTGCAATATGGTACTTTTGTCTATATATCTTTTGTCATCAGTTACTGTGTGTGATGCCTTTATTGAGTGTGCTAATATTTGGTACAAAATGGCCTAGCTGCTGCACCATAAGGCCTACGACCCTGCTACAATTGGTCATAACTCAGATGGCCGTTGCATTCCTCTACTTTTGCCTCTTTTAAGCTCCTGAAGGTCACCATCCCATGTTTGGCAGCTTTCTCTGAATCACTCAGTGCATCCTGTTTTAATTTGTTGGCTGTTCTTTGTACTTCCCATCTTTGGAAAATTTGGACAGGGAAGGAACTACAAGGCAGCCCAGGTGGTACTTCATATGTAACAATGATTTTTCAGTTTGATTCTTGAATGTTTGCTTGGTTCAAGTATCATACTTCTGATATCCAAAAGATGCAGAACTTTCACTTTTCTCTGACCACATCTCCCCATTTTTTAAAACAGAAGAGAGGAAGCATTGGAAGCAACAACTAAAGCTGCCTCTAGGCTCCAGTGGAAAGTAGATGCTGTTATTTGACCTCATTATTTTTGTTTGCTTCATGTGGTTGAGCTATGAGGGTGCCTCTGCCTTAGGAATTCTTGCTAGGATATGTAAAAGCAAAGCAAAGCCAACAAGCCCCCTCCCATGGCCTTTTTCAGGCCACTGCCCCCTTTCCTCTTGGGTGACAACCCTAGTGCCCCCACGCCTGTTTTGTTGTGTTTTGTCTGTTGCTCTCCTGCAAATTTAAAACAACCAATCACTGCCTTTCAGGATCTTCCCTCCACCTCCAGGGGGGCAGTAGTGCCCACTTTGGGAATCATCGGCCCGGATGGTACATAATGATACCATTCCAGGCCAGCAGGCATGTGGTTCTGCTCTTATTTGTAAGCCAGCAGTAGACTACAGCTTGTAAACAGGCACTTGTCTGGTTGCCTGTGGTGAGAAAGCTTTGCCTGCATGTGGCAAAGCAAGACTGTTCGAAAAGAGCTGCTCCTTTCATCTCAAGTAGGGAGACTTACTTTGAAGGCTGTGTTACCTGGAACAGTTTGGATCTGTAACATTTCCTGAGAGCTGGAAAAGAAGACAAGCATGTGTACAAAGCTGGTCCAGGTTTTCTGTTTCGAGAAACTGACAAGATGACCTCATGTTCCTGACCTAACTGGAGAGCTGCTCTCTATCAGATGCCAGTGGTATTAATCCATATCCACTCACCTGGCACAATATGGTTATGTGTCAGATTGAAACCCACAGCTTAGCAGTCTCGTCCACATTCTCATAAGGGCACCTTAGCTTGAATTGTATTTGCTTTCACTCCTTAGTTTGCGTTTGTTTCTCTGTAGGCAAGTCTCCTGGCCTGTGAGGGACTCTCCGGGGTTTGTCTTGTGCCAACGGTTGCCAGCAAGAAGATGATGCCAAAGCAAAGCTCTAAACAGGTGGAGAACGGAGAGAGAGGGGCTGCACCAGACATGCTGGTACGGGCCAGCCTATTTTCAGCTCTCTGCTGCTCTGCTGCACAAGATCTTCTTGGTGGGCTTTTCCAGTGGTGTCAGTGGGTGACCAAGCAGATGAGCCAAGTCAGAGACCTTGACATGTAGAGTCACGGGTTAAGTTGCAAGCACTTTTCGGTAACCTGTGCCCTGCTTTCTTTCTGCCAGGGTCATCGCAAGGAAAATGAGAAGTCACGCAGCAGGAAAGAAGAGGAAGCAACAGAAGGTTCGCAACCCAAAAAGTCCCTTAAAAAGGCAGGTAATCTTACATTATATGGTCTAGCAAAGCACTAGCCCTGCTCAGAATGCTCTTCCTGTGCTCGTAAAGCCATCAGTCAATATTCCTTTCACATTTGGAGCGGCGGGGAGGGGGGCTGCATACTGTCTCTGCTCATTGTAACAGGCCCGGTCCTCCACACAAGTGGAATCTCTTGTGTGGGAAAGCAATAGTGTAATTTATTTTTAGAATGGTTTTATGATCTCCACATCTTAAGGCATCTTAAGACTTCACTTGGAGTAGGGAGTGGCATACAAATCAATAATTCAATCTTAAAAATAGCAAATAAAGCATGAAAATAACAGCATGGGGGGTACAAAAAAGAAAAGGACAGTTTAATGCTGTAAGAAGTTGAAACAGGTTAAAAGCATCAGGGACAAAAAGTCCCTGCTGCTCTCCAAAAGGTTGAGGGGGCTGACCGCATCTCGTGGGAGGGAGATTGCAGTCTGGGTGCCATTGCTCATAAGGGCTGTACTCATGTCCCCACCAGATGCAGGGGGAAGTGGTCCATCATGAGACCTCATCCCAAGCAGTTTAAGGCTTTACTCTGAATTGTGCCTGGGCATAATTGAAAGCCAGTGCAAATGGGGAAAAAACTGGCGCAAGCTATTCCAGGAAGCAGATGCGGGAAACCTTTAGCCATTGCACTTTGCACCAGCTGAAGTTTCCACACCCACTTCCGAGGCAGCTCCATGTGGATGTTAGCCGAGGCACTGGTGATGGTGGCTGGAGCCATACAATCCAGGGTATGCAGCTGTTGCATGTGCTGAAATGAAATCACTCTTGGCCAGAGATGCTCCCTGGACGTTTGGGGCTGGGTCCAGGAGTGCTGCTGAACTGAAAACCTGATCTTTGAAGGTGAGCACAAGCTCACCTAGCAAAAGCTGTAATTCCAATAGTTAATGTATCTGCTAGATTGGTTACTTTAAAATGCTCTCTTTAAGAAAGCCCCATCCTATTTGACCTTGAGTCACAGGAGAACTTGGCATGCTGCATGTCAGCACTAAATTAGAAGCACAGGAAGTGGTACCCAAAGAAAGCAGCACTACATTGATTTCTGCAGTATCCTCCTCTATGGAAGATTGACTGTGTTGCTGACTGTGTGATTCTCTCTCCTCTCCATACCCCACCCTTCACAATCTGTTGTGTTTCAATCTAGTGGCAATCAGAATAATCCTACAACTCATCATGATATTTGAATTGAACATAATCGTTACGCAGACATGTCTTAAGAATGCAGCATGTGAATCTTCAGGCTGAAGCCAGGTCAGGTGCAGGTTGTATCAACTTTGACCAGGGAATCCATCATTCTTTGTCACAGCAAACATTAGGCAGCAGCCTGTTAAGATGAGATGCTATGGAACTTTAGTCATTTAAAGTCATTTCTAGGCCACTTTTAAGGGAATTGCCTGCCCCATGAAATCCAAGGACCCTTGGTGTCCTATGGAGCTGTATTTTAGGCCCATCAGATAGCCTCAGATAAGTCAAAAGGTACCCCAGTTGTCTCCATTGAACAGATGTACAGGATTGGGATACACTGTATCTTATCAGGGTTAACATTACTGGGCTGTTTGTTTTCCTGTCACTTCTGCTGTGCTCCATGCATGGCAGAGGGTTCTTGTTGGTTTCAGATGGCAAGACAGGAGCCCTGAGACTCTATCAAAGACTTAAAAGCAGAGTTATTGCCTCTCATTTACTCCTCAGCAAATAGAATTACAGCATTACAGTAAATGGTTGGAGACAAAGCAGGCATTTCTAAGTACTGGTGGAGATGAAGAAAGTAATCCAACTTCCTCTCTGTTTGTAATAATACTTTTCTGCAACTCACTTTGAAAGCTTGAGTTACTTGTCACAACATTCTACCTTCAGGCTTTGGTGATTGGGCTTATTTTTCTCCTTTTCTTCTGGAAATTAAACTCTGGAGGATGTCCAAAGTTTAATTCTCAAATGTAATGGTGAAGGGCAGGAAAGCTACAGCTCTAGCTTCATAGGTAATAACGAGCAAGTTTCTTCACTTTGGTAGCCTTATACTGTCTCCAAAATAACCCTGATATTTCTCCCTTGAATTAAGGATGGTAAAGTGTAGAAAGTAGTTACCACAGATGAAATGTTAAAAACTTCAAATCCTGGGTCTAATAATGATTTGGTGGAAAAATGGATCACTTTCCCAACTGAAGATTTGATTCTGTAGATTGGAAATACAAAAAGTCATGCTGGTTTCCCTCAGCTGTTTGTTGATCTTGACCATGCTATGGGTGAGTTCACCCAACAAGACAACCCACCCTGTGAATGAGCTATTTGTGGAAAAACCTATGGTGTGCCATGCAAACAGTCAGCTCATTGTAGATTGTCCTTCCTGCCTTCCCCCTCGGTCTTACAGGAAACTGCCTTGTCTCCTCTCTGCTTGAATTGTGAGCCCTTTGGACCACACTGGAGTTTTTTCTCCCCTTTCTTCCTGGAGTATCTTTTTTCCCTTTTCCAGATGGGCAACTTCTGACCATTCCTTCAGAGTCCCCAAATGGCACATTGGAGGGACTTTCAGCAGTTTGTCTACTTAAAACACACGCACACGCACGACTGAATGTGTACAAATTCTTTCATTTTTTGAGCAATTTTCTGAACTTTTTATTTGCTTCAATCCATCATTGATCTGACAACGTTTAGAACAAAGTCACAGCTTGGAAGGGTGGGTTGTTGCTCACAGAGAAGTAACTCTGAGGGAATCTGCCCAGAATCACACAAAATCCCACTGTTTTGGGTTGTTTGGTGTTTGAATCCAGTCTGTGATTCGGTTAGTTTTATAAGCATACTCTCATGAGCTGTATCTTAATTTACTGAGTCCTTCCCATCTTTCATCCCCTGAGTTTGGTTCACTTTTTGGTATTTAATGTTTTGGTAAAGAAAGGAGTGCCCTGTTAAATTTTCTTTAAGTAGATGTATTTTAAAAATTTAACAGACACAGACCTAATTAGTAGGACTATTGATATTAGTAGGACGACTAAGTCTGAGCCCTTCTTAAAATTTAATTTAATTTAATTTTAATTAAAACATTTCTATGCTGTCCTTTGGAACAAGCCTCAGGGCGGCTTACAAAAGACAGTAAATAAAAGTGTGAGTCCAAATATCCTGCATCATGTAAAATTAATTCTGCAGCTTTTGTAAATTACTCAAATTTAACATATTTGCATGTGTTTTTTTTAATTAGTGTTGTATGATTTTGCTTTTTCTAGTTAGTGGGAATAGTTGAATCTATGTGAAAGCTAAAATATAAACACTAACAAACTGTATTCAGAAAACCCTCTATTTTGAGGGACATTAAATGTACTTTGTATTTCACATGCAGGGCTAAAAAATGTACCAACTGGGAGGGTTATTAATGATTAAGATTTTCCCTCAAAGCAAATATGACTTCACTGGTTAGGGTGATTTTTATCGGGGAGAAGAAGTTAACCCCCCTCCCTTCCTGCTACAGTTCTGATAATTATCAGCCCCTCTGTCTGTCTGTCTGTCTGTCTGTCTTTCTTTTTCCCTTTTGGTTTTTGCCTTTGGGGAAATAAACGCTTCAGGTTAAATGCAAAAACATTTGACATCAGATCTGGTTTGGTGCCCTCATTTCATCAGATGTCATCTGTGCATTTTCAAATGGCTCTTCACAGCCATAAAGAAACCCCTGTTGTGTGGTTGATGGAATTTTGGCATGATCTGAAGAGGCCTGGGCTCAGTTCTTTAATTCATAGGGTGATTTGTGTCAATCACCGTCCCTCAACCTCACCATCCCTTTGCCGTCTATTGAAGTTAGATCTTCTGTTTCACTCTGAACATTTCTGTCACTTAAAAACATAGCTTTAGGGCTGGGGAGGTATTTCAGATTCAGATTCTTTGGTGCCATCATCAATTTGTTAGAGGCCTCCTGAGAACTTGCAGCATTTGCTAGGGCAGGAAACTGCTGAACATTGAGTCAAAAAACTGTGAGCAGAAGGCACAGCTGTATTTTTGAGTACTCTCCCGTGAACTCTAGTGCAAGCAGAAGACTTGCAGCAGTGTAGCACCACAGTGTCTCAGAGGTGGCTGGCTTTACTGTGAAAGAAACATAGTAAAGAGGGAGAATCTGGGCTTTAGCATGCAACCCTAGCAGCCCACAGAAAGTTTTGCACAACAGCTTGCATAGATGGATTAAGCCTCACTTTTCTGATGCAGTGCTTATTTCATGGAAGCATCCTTTCCATGAGCAGGAAAGCCTCTTTGGATCCAGAGCTTTGATTCCTTAGTTGCCTTCTGGAGGCAGGGGCAAACTAGAACTTGAAGGATCTTACAGCATCAAGTTCCATACCTCAGTTTAGCTGTCTGTACAGAAGAAGAAAGGTAGGGCTAGTGGGAGAGCACTGGTTAGTATGCAGGGAACTATAAAACTATTTCCATGAGCTCAAGGAGACTTCAGTTTGTTTGTTTGTTTGTTTGTTTGTTTGTTTGTTTTTTGAACAAGTGGTCTTCCCGCATGCCAAATGCAAAACCACTTTTGGAATATAGAAAGGCTCCAAAAGCTGCTGGCAGGGTCATGTGAATCAGCTGTTCTAGCCCAAGCAGGCCTCTGGATCTGACCTTGGTTCATAACCATTTTTTCTATGCCATAGGCGTGCTTGGGCCACAAGATGCCCTTCAATTTTCATGTTATGCAAGGGTGGAAGAGCTGTTTCCATTGGCTCTGTTCAAGGGGAGGCAACCTGGTGCTCCTCAGAAATGTTGGACTGCAGCTCCCACAAATTATAGCCAAGGTGGCCAGTGCTCGGGGGAGTTCTAGCCCAAAACATTTGGAGGGCACCAGACCTTTGTTAGTCCAGTCTGGCCATAATTTTCAGCAACTCTGTTTCTGTGTCTGGAGAATCAACATAGCCATGAAAATCAGTGTGAATAGGGCAGTGGGGTGTTAAATCCTGCTAACTGTATTTGAGACAAGGCTTTGGGTTTTTACTGGGAGCTTTTGCAGTTCAAACCAAGGTTGAGGATGATTTGCACTACAGAGAAAAGCCCCCAGAGACAAAGATTTCTTGTTCTTCCCAGACCCCATGGCTCTGAGGAATCATGCAGGCAAAATGTGGCAGTGGGACTGCAGGGCCGTGGCCCATGAATGCAGCAGCAGAGAGCCATAGGATCCATGGCCAGAGAGAGAGCAGAGCCTTGGCAGGCCAAACGGAGGGCCCCCGCTGCCCTGCTGTGTCGCCCACCAGCACATCCTTGGGAGGCGGTGGCACTGAGGGCTTGCTGTGTGTCAGTCAAGAAGGCGGGTGTGACAGTCCATGCCTTGATTGCAGGTAGTGGTGATTGAACAGAATGGATCCTTCCAGCTCCGGATCCCCAAGAACTTTATTTGTGAGCACTGCTATGGTGCCTTCCGAAGCAGCTACCACCTCAAGAGGCACATCCTGATCCATACGGGTAAGTCAGGGGGATGCTGCTTCCCGGGCTGCATCCTTCATTTGAACCATAAATGGGGGCAAGGACGGGCAAGCCAGGGTCTCCCACGAAGCTGGTGATGGAGGACTTTTATGGGGGACAGGTTCTCATTGCCAGCCTCGAGCGTGTAACTGCAGCGGCTGCTCAGGTTGCCACTGTTTGCAGAAAGCCTTCGCCGCCCGTGGATAGCCTTGGAAAGCCATCAGAAGGGGAAGACTCTGGATCGGCCCTCATTTCGGTGCTACGCTTGAGAGCCCCCCCAGCAAGTGTGTGCACTCACCGAGCCACTCATTCTCAGATGGCCAAAGCCAGGCCAGGCTTGGGAGGGCCCTTGGGCCGCGATTCCCCCTTCTCCCCACCTGCGCCACCAGCCCCTCTTGCTCTGTCTCAGCACTGCCATCACATGCTTGCCTGGCAGGCAGTGAGCCCGGGAGGCCAGGGCAGCTCCTGCTGCTCCCCACCAGCAGTCAAAGGGAAAGGTGGGTGGACAAGCAGGTGGCAGCGGTGAAGAGGAGGAGAAGCTTGGCGGGCGGGGCTTGTCAGTGGGTTCCTGCTGGGCTGTGGGCCCTTGGGAGACACCCAGACCTGGCCACAGCATAAGCCGGAGAATGGGGCTTCTGCAATCGCCCGGCTCCGCGTGCTGGTGAATGTGCTTTCTGACAGTGACTGCACTGACTTAAAGACTAATTGAAGCCAGATGGCTGAAGTCTGGGCAAGTGCGATGCTCCGAAAGGGTCATCTGCACCTGCTGGATAGGCTCTGGCTGCCCATATTGTTTTCCATTCCTTGGGGAAAGCCCCACTCTCGCATTCAGGTGTTTCCAGTGAACGAGAAGGTGGTATAATTTTAAAGCCCTGTTGGGATCGCTTGCCATGTCCTGATTCGACCACTAGGTGGCCCCACCTCCCTCTGAAATGCCTCTAGAGGAGGCCTAACAGGCTGCTTGACAGCTCTGTCTAACTTGGAAGGCTCATGTTAGTCCCTCTTAAAAGGGAGGGAGAGTTCTTTCCCAGCCCTCTTTCGGATTAGGCACTGACCTGGGCAGGAGGGCGTGCTTCCGTGGGTTGGCTTCATTGTGTGATACAGGTATGGTCCATTCTAGGAGCAGCCCCCTTTCTTGGTTTGTAGCACAATGGTCTGGATTTTGTGGCTGCGTGAGTTTCCAGCTATGAGGAATTGGGAGCGATCTGGGCCTTTCCACCTCTGAGGTGCTGGGCTGGGAAAAGGAGGGGCACAAAGAAGCAGAAGATGTTCCTGCTTTTTTTTTGATGGACATCTGCCAGCTCTGAATTGTGTAGTGGACTGTGTTAGCAAGGGCTTGCCTGGGCACGCCAGTTCATGCACTCTGCCTCAGTTGTGCATCCTCACAACCAAGCAAACTGAGCAGAGGAGGAGCCCAAGGTCTTCCCTCAGCAAACCAACGGAGTCCACTAGTGCAAGGAAGAGCAGCCTCTGGCCAACTCTCTGATGCGAGCAGCAGCTTTCCCCTTGAAATAAATTGTTTGAGAAAAGGTAGTGTACATTCTTAGGATCTGGAGCTTTTGTCTCCAGAGCAGTGGTCCCCTCTGCCACTAAAACAAGAATGAGAGACATGTCAGTGGGAGTGTTCCCGACCTTTCCATTTGGGCTGCAGCATCTGCCTAGGGCACAATCCAGTGAAATGGACGGGAGAAACACAAGTGCCTGGCCTTCATGCAGCGTTCCTGTTTCTTTTGGGCTTTTGTAAAAGGGAGCCCCAATTTGTTGGACCCTTGATTGAAAAGGACACAAAGTTGTGGAAATAGGGGCTCTTTCCTCCCTACCCCCTAAACGCTTACTTGTTCCCTCTTGCAGGTGAGAAGCCATTTGAGTGCGATGTATGTGACATGCGCTTCATCCAGAAATACCACCTGGAGCGCCACAAGCGTGTGCACAGTGGGGAGAAGCCATACCAGTGTGAGCGCTGCCTGCAGGTGATGCCTCTGCCCCTTGATTGCCACTGGAAGGGGATATGTGGATAGTCTTGCCTCATGTTCCGTGGAGCCCCCTGCATCAGCCATGGTGCCTGCCTCCTCTTAGAGGAGCCTTTGTTGGGTGAGGCCAGCAATGGTCCTCAGCAAGGGAAGCTCCTGGAAATACCAGATGATCCCATTGCGGTGGTAGGAACGGATTCCTAGCTCCATGAAGCTGATTAGTCAGAATTGCCTTTTGATGGGCAATTCATAGGTTCTCGGGCTTAACGGTTCATGACTTGCTTGTGCTTTGACCTGTGTGCATCCTGCACATCCATGAAATTCCTGAGCAAGCATATGAGATGGAATCCTCCACAGAATTCTGAGGATCTATCATTTCAGGAATTATTTTAAAGCAAGCGTCTAGTCCTTATGGCCACAGAATAAATGTGTGAGCAGTGTTTTCTTACAAGAAGGGGACTGAGCTTCAGCTAGCCAGGTCTTTTGTCAGGCCACATGGATTTTCCATATACTCAACCCTGGGTTTAAGGCTCTGGATGGCTTCTGCTGCTTGCCCCCATGACTATCACTCACTCACTATCCGTAGAGTCCACCTTTTTTCTAGACGGACTTTTCCTGGTTTTTGTATGTTAGTATAATAGCTTTGCAATCAGAGGCCATGCCCCATGCAGATCAAACTCTTAGCCCCGCTTAGCTCTAACGGGTTTGTGCCAAGTACATGGTGCAACCACAGGCTCCTGAAATACTTGCTTAGAGAAACTCTGGTTGGGCCTCCTTGTCACTTTGCAGACAGTAAAAGGTAAGAGAGACAGACAAACTACCTTAACTGTGGTTTCCTTTGAGCAATAGAATTCTTAACCATGGTTCAAACACTAGTTTTGAAGCCCACTTCAATCATGTCACGTAGTTCCTTAGCACTAATCATATGTCTGTATGGGCAGGGCAATGCTCAGCCCTCCAGCTGTCATTGGACTGCAGCTCCCATCAACCCAAGTCAGCATAGCTAATGGGGAAAGGTGGGGGTTGCAGGCCAATAACATCTGGAGCACCACTGGTGCCCATCCTGTTCTGTATTGCACTGTGCCTTTGGTGGCAACGCCACAGATTAAGTCAGCTAGTGCTGAGTTGGACTTGGGGGCCTCATTCCAGTGGTGAACAGGGAGGCCAAGGAGAGGGTCCAAAATACAAAAAATGCAGTGTTTTTCACTTAAAACTCTCCTGCCACATCATGGGGTAAATTGACATCCCCTGAGCTCATATTCTGTACTGTAATGTACATGTAAATAGACCTACCAACTCCTTCATGGATCACTGCCTTGTCGTGGCGAAGGGGCTTGCGTAGCTCAATGAAGCTATGAGCTATGCCGTGCAGGGCCACCCAAGACGGACAGGTCATAGCAGAGAGCTCTGACAAAACGTGATCCACTGGAGAAGGAAATGGCAACCCACTCCAGTATCTTTGCCATGAAAACCCCATGGACATTACCAAAAAGCAAAAAGATATGATGCCAGAAGATGAGCCCCTCAGGTCAGAAGGTGTCCAATATGCTACTGGGGAAGAGCAGAGGGCTAGTACTAGTAGCGCCAGAAAGAATGAAGCGACTGGGTCAAAGCCAAAAGGACACTCGGTTGCCGATGTATCTGGTGGTGAAAGGAAAGTCCGATGCTGCAAAGATCTATACTCCATAGGAACCTGGAATGTAAGATCCATGAATCAAGGCAAGCTGGATGTGGTCAAACGAGGTGACAGGACTGAACATTGACATCTTAGGAATCAGTGAACTAAAATGGACAGGAATGGGTGAATTTAATTCAGATGACCATCAGGTATGCTACTGCGGGCAAGAATCCCTCAGAAGCAATGGAGTAGCCTTCATAGTCAATAAAAGAGTAGGAAAAGCAGTACTGGGATACAATCTCCAAAATGACAGAATGATCTCGGTTCGAATCCAAGGCAAACCAATGAACATCACAGTAGTCCAAGTCTATGCCCCAACCACTGGTGCTGAAGAGGCTGAAGTTGACCGGTTCTATGAAGGCCTACAACACCTCCTAGAATTAGCACCAAAAAATGATGTCCTTACCATCATGGGGTATTGGAATGCTAAAGCAGGAAGCCAAAAGATAACTGGAATAACAGGCAAGTTTGCCCGTGGAGTACAAAATGAAGCAGGGCACAGGCTGGTAGAATTTTGTCAAGAGAATACGATGGTCATAACAAACACTCTTTTCAAACAACCCAAGAGACAACTCTACACATGATCATCACCAGACAGTCAACACAGAAATCAGATTGCCTATGTGCTCTGCAGCCAAAGATGGAGAAGCTCTATACAGTCAGTAAAAACTAGATTAGGACCTGACTATGGCTCAGATCACTTGCTTCTTGTTGCAAAATTTAGGCTTAAATTGAAGAAAGTAGGGAAAAGCACTAGGCCACTCAGGTATGGCCTAAATCATATCCCTGATGAATATACAGTAGAGGTGACAAATAGATTTAAGGAATTAGATCTGATAGACAAGAGTGCCTGAAGAACTATGGACGGAGGTTCGCAACATTGTACAAGAGGTAGCAACTAAAACCATCCCATAGAAAAAGAAATGCAAGAAAGCAAAATGGCTGGCTGAGGAAACTTTACAAATAGCTGAGGAAGGAAGGGAAGCGAAAGGCAAGGGAGAAAGGTACACCCAACTGAATGCAGAATTCCAGAGAATAGCTAGAAGAGATAAGAATGCCTTCTTAAATGAACAGTGCAAAGAAATAGAAGAAAACAATAGAATAGGGAGGACCAGAGATCTCTTCAAGAAAATTGGAGATATGAAAGGAACATTTCATGCAAAGATGGGCATGATAAAGGGCCAAAATGTCAGGGACCTAACAGAGGCAGAAGAGGTTAAGAAGAGGTGGCAAGATTGCACAGAAGAACTGTACAAGAAAGAGCTTAACGACCCTGATAACCACGATGGGGTGATCCCTGACCTCGAGCCAAACATCCTGGAATGTGAAGTCAAATGGTCCCTAAGAAGTCTGAGCAACAACAAAGCTAGTGGAGGTGACAGCATTCCAGCTGAGCTATTCAAATCTTAAAAGATGATGCAGTAAAAGTGCTACACTCAATATGCCAGCAAATTTGGAAAACTCAACAGTGGCCACAGGATTGGAAAAGATCAGTTTACATTCCCATCCTAAAGAAGGGCAATGCCAAAGAATGTTCAAACTACCCCACCATTGCACTCATTTCGCATGCCAGCAAAGTGATGCTCAAAATCCTACAAGCTAGGCTCCAACAGTACGTGGACCGAGAACTACCAGAAGTACAGGCAGGATTTCGAAGAGGGAGAGGAACTAGAGATCAAATTGCCAACATAGGCTGGATCATGGAGAAAGCTAGGGAGTTCCAGAAAAAACATCTACTTCTGCTTCATTGACTATGCTAAAGCCTTTGATTTTGTGGATCACAACAAATTGTGGCAAGTTCTTAAAGAGATGGGAGTACCAGACCATCTTATTTGTCTCTTGAG